TTCTACACGTGCCATTTTCTCCGCTCATAGAAAACAGCACATTTCACGAGAAGAGCATTTATAAATACTACAGTCGATCGTGCTCATGTAACGATGGGAAGCTAAAATCATTACCACTACGGCGCTAGCCATCGCTTTTTTCCGTCACCAGTTCAGTCTGTATGTTCCTGCCTGCATCTGACCATCAGGTGTCTGAGTCAGATCTTTCTCTGTCTGCCTCCTCGTTCCTCATTTTCTTTTTAAATAATCAGCCACAGATCAGTTTATGTTTTTAACACACAGGAACTAAACGGCTTGTTTTAGACTGACAGAGTCACTGGAGTTACAAAAGCACCACTTTTCACCACTGTGGTAAACGCAGTAGCTTGAGCCCTGTGCTGACTGTTTAGTGAAATCGACAACATGTATTTGGATGATTCAGCTGAAGCTTCTTTTCAGTGCTCGTAATGACCTGGTGCGTCCTTTGACTTTCCGGCAGCTTAACATGGCAACAACCTCAAAGATCCATCGGTTTCTATTATATGCAGCAAAGTGTTTCTTTTATGGACACTGGACTTGTACAATGAACCAAGTAATGTTATCTCAGCAGATGTACTAAATAGTTTTTGAGGTTTGCATAAGGTCAAAGTAGACAAAGAGGTGCTGTTCTATATTGTTGTTCCAGTATTTATTGTGATGAGCTGGTTCTAGCAGCTGTCAGCCAGTACTGATGAGGTGTTCGTACAGTCACAGAGACAGAAGTGTGTTTTTTTTAATCACTTCTCTGGTTTACTTCCTCGTGTTTTCACCAGTATATGTGGGCTGAAAATAGAGCTGCCTATCTGGAGTTTAAGTCAAGAATGTCCAGAATGGTAAAGAAATGAATCATAGTCGTTTTTCTGCCAGCAAATAGTTTCTCGTGAGCCGTAAACATTGTGCAGGCCCTGACCAGCCACAGAGCATGAACCTTGGTCTTTGTTCCCCCCCCCTCTCCTTCAGGTCTGGAGCCAGAGATTCAGAAGCTGATATCGAAGCACAAACAAGAACTGAAGAAGCTGCGAACGCTTCACGAGGCGGAGCTGCTGCAGGCAGACGACCGGGCCGCCCAGCGCTACGTCCGGCAGTGTGAGGAGCTCCGGCAGCAGCTGGAGAAGGAGAAGGAGGAGCAGTGCCAGAGGGAGAGAGATCTGGCCAAACAGAGGTACCATGTCCCTCTAATGCAACAGTCCCTCTGCACAGAAACATGTACACCGCATATCAAATCAAGTTTATTGTCATTTTGCTGTACATACACAGTAGTACAGGCAAGATGAGAGAGAGAGAGAGAGAGAGAGAGAGAGCATTTCTTCAGGATCCAGTGACTTAAAACAATTTTAAAAGAAGTGTTTGCATATCTGGATCAGCAGTTCACACAGTTTATGGAGAGGGTGTGAGGAGTCCCTGACAATGTTCAGTGCCCTGCACCTGTACTACACCTAATATGTATCCTGACCTGACATTCTGTGATAAGTGTATATTTTGTGAAGTGCAGCAAATGTCACGTAGAGCTGCAACCGAATTATTATTGTCATTGTTTAATAATCTGTCGGTTATTTCCTTGATTAATGGATTAGTTGTTCTGGTAGTTTAATCGTAGCAACTGGACTTGCTTGAGTTCCTTGAAGACGTTCCACTTCTGATCCAAGAGGCTTCATCAGGTCAGACTGACTCGTTGGAAGTTCCACATACTGATATCCTTAAGGAGCAATTAACACTTGAGTTTTGGTTTTAATTGGGGGTTTGTCGGTCCTGCCCCTTGTTATGTGAGTCGTTAGCGCTCCCTCCTGCCACAAAGGGCTTTGTTAAGGTCTTTTGTGGCTAGGTGTGGATGTGGTTTCATCATCCTGGGGAGAGTTTTTAGGACTGAACTGTAAACAGGTAACTGTAGTGCAGTTACTATGGTTCATCTACCAGAATATCCATGACCTGGATGACTGAGAATGTTCACAGACACAATCGATTAGTTGTTTCAACTATGAAATATCAGAAAATGGTGAAAAATGTGGGTAACTTTTGTCCCAAAGCCAGAGATAACAAATGTCCTGTTTTATCCACAACCCAAAGATACTCAGTTTGCTGTCATAGAGGATGAAACCATAAGATATTCACATTTCACAGAATTTAGACTGTTTTCTTAAAAAACTTCTCAAATGGATCAATACGTTTGCAAACAAGAGTCATGACTATCTCAGTTATTTGTCAGCTTGTAAATTAATCAGCAGTTATTCTGATATTTGTTTAATCAGTTGGAGTAAGTCATGATTTCTTCCTTTTGAGTTTTTTGTGTGTGTTTGAAAGTGTTGGCAAACCTTTATTAGGCACATCCCACAAAATAAAATGTAAAATCCAATAAACTTGAAAGATTTTCATGTCACACCAAGTTTCTCCGGCTAATATGGATCTACTGTGTCACAGGGTAAATATTCACACGTTAGAAAAGTTCAATTCAAAAGTTACTCAAACCAATTCAAAATTAATTATCAAAATAGTTGCAGATTCATCAAATACATGACAACGTTATATAAATGCAACACACAATAGTATAGATTAAGATAAATGGTTGCAGCTCGAATGCCAGCTCGCAGCAGCCAGACTCACGTTTTCCAGTCAGAAAAACAAAAAACTGAACAGGAGTAAAGAACTCAGATGCCTGTGGTGAATTTCATGCATTAAAACCATGAAGGTGGTTTCAGTCGTTGCAGTTTATTCAGCAGTTTCTTTGTGGCTGTTTGTGGAAGTGTTGAATTCATGGTGCCTTTCCTGCAAAGAGAGACCGAGAAAGCTTCTGGTTTGAGGAATGGTCTGGCTCCGTTTGCAGCGACACACTGTTAGAATTAATGAGTCTAACAGATGCTCGCAGCAGCTTAATGAGACACTTGTTTGCTCACTCCGTCAGTGTGTAGTAAATACTGTTCATGTGACCGGTGGCTGCCTGTGTACTGTCACACTCAGTTGTGTTTGTGTCTGTCAGATATGAGAAGCAGCTTCAGGAGGAGGAATTGTCACTGCAGCAGCAGAGGAGACGTCTCTACAAGGAGGTGGCCGACGAGAAGGAGAGGATGGCTCAGCTGGCCGCAAGGTGAGCTCAGGGAGACATCGGACACCGTGATAACAGGATATTCCAGTAGTCCACGATAGTGCTCCGAATAAGAGGCTGAATCAGTGGAAAAACCCTGCAGGTGTTCAGTCCAGTGTTGTGGTTTGTTTTTAGTTCAGTGACGCAGCTTAGAGAAGTACAGTAAACGAAGCTCCTCAGATGTTCCGGTTGTTCCTGTGTGCAATCAACCAATTAATCAAACTTTATCGAAATTGCACTATTTAAACAAATAAAATGAAGTTCAAAAAGCTTGGTGGTTTTTAGATGTTTAAAACAGATTTAGAGACTAGCAAATGTTAAAATGTGTACAAGAGTGTTTGTTCTTGGAAATCTGTCTGTCTTGTTGGGAATATAAAATACATGGATCCCTTAGAGATGTTTTTGCTCAGATGTTATTACAGCTGCTCAAGTGACTGTTGAGTGTCGTTTAAAGCAACAAAAACAGTCTGAGACAGTGGAAACTAAACTGTGTGTGCATTTGGATGAACGCTGTTGACAGGAACACAAGATACTTTGACGTCTTAATAACAGCAGCCTGTCATTTGCTTAAATTCGATCCCACATTGATGTTACTGAGTGTAGGATGCATTTCCAAGAATAGCTTTAGTGTTGCCTAAAAATCCTCAACGATAAATCAACAGCATTTTTACAGGTGATTGTTGTGTTTGTGTCGCAGGCAACGCGGTGAGCTGGAGGATCTGCGGCGGCAGCTGGAGGAGAACAGCTCTCTGGCCGGACGAGCTCTCAGAGAAGAGCTGGACAAAACCCGAGAGGAGCAGGAGAGGAGACACCAGGTGATGAGTGTGAACACAGCAGAGCAGCTTCGGATGGACTCCAAAACAGAACTGGAGCTCACGTTGTGTCTCATTTGTGTGATTAGGTGGAGATGAAGGCACTACAAGAACGTCTTAACATCGAAAAGCAGACTTGGGAAGAAAACTACAAGAAGAAGGAGGTGTGTGAACGAGTCTATACAGCCATTGTGGACTTGTTTTGTACTATATCTGTTCTCACCTGTTCTTCTTTTGTCCCCTGTGAAGTGTAACAAACCTCTAAATACTGTGTAAACATAAAGTATTGTGCCTGTAGACGTGCAGGCATCTGGGTCACCCACTCATTCAGCTTTGCAGGAGACTCTTAAGAGTTCCAGTTTTCTTTGTGCAGCCATTTCAAAAACAGGAAAAGAACAGGAACTGAACTTCTCTGCCAAAAATGGTCTTTTTGTAGCAACACAGGCAGGTGGCAGGTTTCCAGCTCGGTCGGGGAAAAATGCTGTAATTGTTACACCTAAAAAAAAAAAAAAAAAGCCACACTTTGCTGCGTCATTGGTAAATGTGATACTGTATGCAATATGGAAAATAACAAAGTTCGTCCAGATTCTCAAAGGAGAAGCACAAACATAACAGCTTTTATAGTGAGCCGAAAACTCAGGAAATGGTTTTCGTTGGACCGTATACGTGATCAGTTTTCCACACCATATAGGAAATGCTGAGTCCAGCTTTCCAAAGACAAAAATCCTCCTTCGATGGACTTTTCTTCTTTTCTTAGAACTTTATGTAACCTGCACACGAGCATGTCGAGCTACATGGAAGTCACTTTGCTGACAAGAAATGATTAACCCAAAACATGCAAATCAGTGGTTAATGTAGAAATAAATGGTAAAGAGTTTGAAGTTTAGTTTGTTTTCGCAGCTCTCTACAATTGGCCTTCACCTTCCAACTTTCACCTAAATGTCACTCAGATAAACTCTTCTGGGTATGAATGACACACGCAGTCAGTCGGACTTGCAGGACAACATGTTAATCAGGGAAGAGACAACTTTTATTGTGCAGGAATGACAGTAAATGATTAACTGTTAACGGCATGAAGGCAGATGTACGTTAACTGAGGTGTGTTTTATTGTGTTCTGCAGGAGGCGTGGATGCTGAGCCGCGAGCGACAGCTCAAAGAAGAGCTGCGGCGGGATCGCGACAAAGAGATCGAACTCGCCATCTGGACGCTGGAGGAGGAGACCAGCAAGGACAAGGAGGAGTGTGAGAGGGCAGCTGACAGCAGGTGTGTGTTCACCGGATCCTGCTGTTTGACACTGAACAAGATAATGGAGAGTGTGACAACCACACCGCACTGACCGTTCGGTATAAACCTCTGTTTTAAAGTCAGTTTTAATCATTGTAATTATTCTTATTGACGTGCAAACACACCATCCGCAGACAAGACTGATCTGTTTACCATCAAGTATAAAGTAGACCAGTTACCTGAAGTTATATTTGCCTTAAATGACGCATTAAAGCCAGAACAAGTTAAACTAGGTAACGCTGGTTTCCTCTTCTGCTTGACAGGATTCTGTTTGCAAATGAGAACTGGTTCTCAAACATTTTTACCTGCATACGTACATAAAAATAAATATAAGTAAATAAAAGTCTATGATGTATTTTAAGGTGTGTTTTTGAAGGAGGGCATTAGCTTTGTAGAAAACCTTTTTTTTTTTTACCTTGTTAAAACAAAGTCAGTGTGCATAACAGGAAATGGAAAGACCTTTGCTATATAAGTTTCATAACTTTTTCTAATTTTCTCTTGTTTATTTAGAGATTTGTCCTTTACAGTGTCTTCTTGTTTTTGCACAGCCTTGAGGTTCAGCCACTTTGCATTTCACTGCACATGCTGCACAAGCATGTGACCAACAAAACATCTTGAATCTTGAATCCAGATGTAGCAAACATTTAACTCACATGACTGTTCAGATAGATTTCTTTTTTGTTTGTTTTCTTCAGACATGATAGAATAATGACAACTTCACCGACTGAAAACAATGTCTAAAGACTTTTTCTTCATTTCTTTCTAGTAGATGGACAAAGTTTTATTAGTTTTTCCTTATTCCACGTGAAACACGCACTCAAGAAAACTTCAACATTGGTGAACGTTGTGTACCAAATGTTTTACACTAATGGATGCACAATGTCCAGAGTATATGAACAACATGTGAAGTGTCCCAATATTTATCTCTCTGTGACATTTTCAAACCAAACTGGAAGCTGTTAGCCTTTATTAGTGGGTATTTCATATTAAAGCCTGCTAGTTACACCCCTACACCTTTCCACAAACGCTGTAGATATCCACAGTCGCAGGTCTCACAAGACAAATGTTGGCGTTAAAGATGAATTAACTTTAGGCAGGTTCTGAAATTGTGCTGCATTTTTGGGATGTGCACATTCTTCCACACAAGTCTGCATCAACACCAACCTGCCGTGCACTCGGTTTGCAGGGTGAAACGAGTTAGAGAAAAGTACGAAGCCGAGCTGAGGGAGCTGGAGCGCTCCGAGAGGACGTCCGTGGAGAAACAACAGGAGCTGAGGAAGCAGCAGGTGGAGACGGAGGGAGAACTGATCAGACTTCAGGCTCTGCTCAGACAGAAGGAGCAGGAGATTGAGGACGTCACACAGGTAAGAAGCAAAACGTTCTCATTCAGACGATTAGAAATGACTTGTTACTTTTCCCTTTCTGTGCACCACAAAACATCAAGTCATCACAGGCTTCTTTCCATCAGCATGATTTGTTTTAAAAGATGGAAAACAGACACTCAAAAGTACAGATTCCGTTTTAATTTGCCCGACTTCTCTGCTCAGACCAGGGACAAGCTGGCCGACGAGCGCCGCAGCCTGGCCGAGGTGATCCGGCAGGAGTTCGCCGACCGCTTGGTGGCGACGGAGGAGGAGAACCGCAGGATGAAGGTGGAGGTGTCGGAGGTCCGAGCGAGGCTGAGGCTGGAGGTGGAGAGGGTCACCAGGGAGAAGGAGGAGGAGCTGGCCGAAGTCCACCAGCGGTAAGACGGATGAAACATTTGTCCTGTTTGGTCACATAGTTTCCAAACCTGACAAGCTTGAGGTTAAAACGCTGAAGTAAAAGCACACGTCTAACTGCTTTGTAAGAGTACAAATTGAACTTTCAAGTGTGACAATATGTTGCTTTAATTGTAGAAGCAGATCTTGTATGTTTGTCTGCAAACTGAAGGTAAAGAGATGACGGTGAGATGGACGTGTCTGAACGTTATGAAGCCAAAACTTCACAAAAGCTCTCCATAAATCAGCGTCTCTAAACAGTCAGGACCCCTGTGTGTGTGTCAGGCCGTGGATTTAGGTCAACGCTTAATAAGCTTTGTTGGGGGCCAGCTGGCTCCTCACACATCGGCTCTGTTAAAGGTGCAAAAAAGGAGCGTTGGCACACAAGTTCAAAGTGCAGTTCAAACTTAATAAATGGTGGAAACTTAAGCGCACCGCTGGCCGTCTGCCACTTCGTAAGAAAGGAGAAATATGAGGAAGCTGTGAGCGAATTCTGAAGAAGCCCTGGTTAATGTCAACACAAAGTTCAGTGTGGCTCTAAAACTTGTGGAACTCCTGAAAATAAGATTGATAACTTAGTTAACACACAGTATTTCTTCTGTATGTTATTGCTGAATGTAGAGCTGCAACAATTGATCAATTATTCGGTTTAAGTAATATTTTAAGAAAAAGATAAGCCAAAATTGTCTGATTCTGGCTTCTGGTCACACATTATTAAAGAGCAAATTACTATTACTGACGGGTTCTGATGGTTTTTGTTTTTTTACAGTCAGCATGTAAATTAATATTTTTTTTCTGTGGTTTTACGAGTTAGAATCTGTGCTTTAACAACAAATAGGAAAAATGTTTACACTAGCAATTCATTGTTTAGAATTTTTCTAGTAGTAACATTACTTTTTGCCAGTTTAACTACAGTAAAAATGGTCTACTTTCATGGTCAAACATTGTACCACTGTCAGGGCCCAGCAGGAAACATAACCGTTTCTTGGATGTGAATATTTTGTGGTGACACTAAGCTGAACATCACCAGTTTCTTGGCATTTTATAGACCAAACAACTAACTTAACTAACCACGACGTCACCAGTGACGTCTTGCACTGATGCAGGTGTAGCTGTCAGCATTAGTTCACAGACACAGTATTGTGTTGAAACAGGAACTCTCCTTTCTGTTGTCGAACCTGCGCTGCATCATAGACCGTATGACGTCGTGCAGCAAGTATGCAGCAACTTATCTAAAATGCCTACTTCAAGAAACCTCCCAGTCTGTGGCTCCTGTGGTCCTGTGTCCACTGGTTCTTACTGAAGAAATAAATATGTAGTTTTTTTTTCCCCTAAAAATGTGAAACAAAACATTAGTCACACACGGGTACAGTGTGTGTTTTAGGGACTATTTTGAGCAGCGGATGAATCCACATTTCTAGTGAGTATTTCCAGTTGCAGGGTGTTTGAGTCTAAATAAATTAGACTGTGTTGTAGCCCAACTGTGAAACTCACTGATGTTATTTTTGCTATATATATATACACATCTCTTCCTGCTTCAACCTGTTTGCAGTTTTCCTGTTTCACTTACTTGCGTCTCAACAATAGAAACAGGTGCTCTTACTCTTCTGCTCTTCCCATTAAGGCTTATTTGGGACCTTAAAACAAAGTGTGCTCACACTGGACTTATAAATGTGATCAATTTGCATCAAATTTGGTTGAATTTGTCTTTTTCCATTTTGAATATTTCCAAATCATACTAATCTTCCCTGTGTTGGTGAAACAGCACCGAGCTGCTTTCTAGTGATAAATTTTTTACTTGCTGCTAAAACAGCCTGCAGCAGCTTTGAAATGCAAGCAAATGGTGTCAAAGTTCTGGGATGTTAGAGTCTCTTATGAACTCCATTCAGGACGAACTTACAATATATGAAAATGATTTGCGTCCTTTACGTCTCTCTTGTGTTTTTGTACTTTTCATGGTGTGGGATCCTTAAATATCTTAGAATATTTTTCCAGCAGTGTTCTTTCCAACTGCTAAAAACTGCAGATTTCCACCCAGATCTCCTCAGAAAACCCCACTCTGGCTTCTGTTTCCTATTTTTATTAAACATACAAGATGTTTTCCGTTTAGCAGCTGAGAGAGCTGATCTGTGTTAATGTTTTCTGGACAACAGTGAAGCTGTACAGCACAGAGGATCAAGACGTCAGGCTTTGATGCACGACAGTAATTATTACTTATTACTGGGACAAATTCTTTGCTGTTTTTTTTTTTTTTTTAATGATTCGTAACGAAAAGCCTGGAATATAAACTGTGCATTTCTAGAAGTTAAAGGCTGAGCTTAAACCGTAATGGAAATTACACAGCAGTCCCAAGACAGAGTGTCTTCATATATTTAGGAAAACAACCAGTAACAGTATTAATCCTCTAAATCCAGGCAGTTTCTGGGCGATTTTTGCTCCCGCTGCATTTTTCCTCACTGTGGGATCATTTTTCACTGCAGTATAAAGTCATGAACTCATTGGAAACGGAACCAACATGAAGAAGGAGCGAGAACTCGGAGATGTCATCTGTGCTGAATGGCACAGTTAGAATGCTGTAGATCATAACAATGAAAAAGTTAAACTTCAATTGCTTTTACAAAATATTTTTACAAAAATTGAAGAAACCTGAAATCTACATGTACATTTTTCTAAGTGACTCCACAGACTATAGATATGTAGATGTTTGTGTACTTGTCTCCTCTCGCCTTTGTTGAAACGCTGCCTGCAGTTCAGTTTGAAAAAACTTGCTAACAACTCATTTTTAAAGAACGCATGTAGACTAAAGTGATTTTGATGAGATTTCACAATCTTAAGCTTTGATTTGGTCTTTTTTTTCCAGCAGAACTACATGTTAGCATTAAAGAACCATCAGAAAGTTACGAATCCAACTATTCTTGATATTTTTACAGTTCCTGGCTCAGGTACATGATGTAGTTTTAGGGTGTTTTTTTTTTTTTTTTTTTTCTGCCAGCTGGTTGCAGGGTTCAGGTAGTTAAAAGGCCAAAAACCAAAACCAGTTCCTCAAACATCGTGTTTCAGCTCCTGTGGTTTTTCAGAGCTTTGCTGACAGTTTTCAGATGAAAAGTGAAACCAACGAATCAAGGTGTCAGCGCTTTGTTGTTTTCTGTGATCTGCCAGAGTGAAGTCGGCTATCTTGAAGAAGGAAGAAACCGTCGGTCACCTCCGGAAGCAGCACGAGGTGAGTCGCCGGATGAAGTCTGTCACACTAATACCAGCGCACAGTTTGAGCGATGAGTGACAGCGAGTGTAAACACCGTCCTCTGCTCTGATAGGCTGCTCTGAAGAGGGCGGACCACCTCGAGGCCTTGTGGGAGCAGCAGAGGAAGCAGCTGCTGGAGAAGTGACTGACAGCAAGGCCAGGTTTTCATCTCCGTGGACCTCCCCCCCTCCCCGCCCTCCCATCGCAATGAGCTGCATTGTGCTCATTGTGTCGCTGTGTCCCCCCTTCTCCCTCTGGATGTTGTTCCTGCCAGCAAGACTGAACCTGTGGAGCTTCAGAAGGTTGTGACTGAGTCTACCTCAGCTGAAGCTAAACTCAAAAAATGGGGGAAACGCACTGGTCCTGACTGTGTAGCCGCCCCCCCAGGAATGAAGGAGCCTGTTGTGCTCCCTCATTTAGACGCCACAGACCAGGTGGCACCAGATTAAAGACTACAGATGGACCCGCCTGTCTTGTCTTTCCAAAGGAGGATTTCTGGTTGTGTTGTGCGGCTGTACCCCGTCTTCTTCCCTCACGCTGCCGTCGGTGGGAGCAGGAATTTGTTCCCCACAGAGCTGCCACACAGAACACTTCCAGATGTTCCAGAGACCAGCCCGGGCCTGCTGGGCCGCTGGGAACTGGGGCGCCATGGTGGTGGTAGTGGTAGTGGGAGCTGTTCTTACTGTAGGACCAGAGACTCGCAGCATCACAGCCCAAAGCACGAGCCCGAAACAAGCCGCGGTGCGCCCTTTTATCTGTTGAGTCATGCGTTTTGTCCCAGTGCCCCCTCGAGGCAAGCGCTAATTACTGGATCCATAACCGCCCCCGTCGCTGCTGCCCCGCGGCCAGCTCTGAGCAGTCTGTTTGTCTTGAACCAAAATCTAACAACGCGGTTAGGAGTACTAACACTGGTTGCTGAGTTAAGTTAGAGAGCGTGTAGAGTGTTTCTAGAAAGAGCGAGTTGGGAACATAAAAGGAAAACGAAGGAAGAAAAATGGGACGTCTGATGGCACGTTTGAGGTCAGATGATTGCAGAGTGGCTTTGAAAGTTTTTCTGAACGTAGGGAAGAAAAAGACGACGAGGTAGAAGGAGGGGGGGAAGGAATGTGCATAGAAAATGTTTATAGGATTAGGAAAGCAGAGCTGGGACAGAGCAGGGCGGTAGGTGGGTTAAAGGGGGCATGTGACCAGAGGTATGTTTAAAGACATATGGGTTCTGATCCAGAGGCCGCACTGGGACAAAACGCATCGGCAGGGAGAAAGACGCACACATATGCAAACTATTCTGTTTTGTAAATCCTCTCAGGAGCCACAGCCTGTTTTATTCTTTTATTTTTTTTATTTCTTAACCCTTAATGAAGACATGTGGAAGCCCCTCTCGCAGACACAGAAAGTCTTTGTGGATAAGATTTCAGTAAGAGCTGGTCCATAGCTTGACTTGGCGAGGGGTGGAGCGGCTGTAACAAGAGTTGGTGCTGCGCAGAGAAACTCTAAACCCTGAAGGAAGGCCTGTTATTTAGGTACAACATGATGTGAAAGACGGCAGTGTGATGTGATTGTAAAGGCCTCCAGATTAGACCTCACTGTCAGACCGTATTTATTCTGTTTCCTTTATTTATTGTAGCGCTCGACCTTTGTAGTGTTGTTGGTCCACAGAGAGGTCGAAGATGTGAAGTAGTTTCTCTCAAACGTTGTCAACACATCAAGTGTTTTTTTTTTTTTATTCCTTCTGCAACTAAACAGTCACAGTGAGGTGTTATAACGGTGCCATTTTTAGATGGTCTAAATACAGTACGTCAGGTTTTTCTGACACGGAAGTTGTCCGAGCCACAACGAGTGAAATACATAAACGAGTAATAGACGAGAGCATAAAGTAGAGCAGCTTTGGTTTGGACACATTAGCCGTGTTTCCATCTAACTGTCTGGGGAATTCGAAGCAAAGTTTCGAAATTTCGTGAAACATTTTATGAAAAAGAAATATGTGAATTAGGCTTGTTCCCATCGACTGCTATGCAGCGGATAAACAGAAGGTGGCGCTATTGGAAAAGTCGCACACTTACGTACGTTTTGAAGCTGTCCTTACAAAGAACATCCTGTTGCTGCATGACCACACTTCTCATACATTCATTGTAGTCTGTGGTTTTCTGCAAAATGATGCCGGATGCAGTCGCACAGCCTGAAACATGCTATGCTTTTGTTTTCTAGCACACTGTACTGTAGCGTTGGAATCGGAATCTGAATTTGACACAATACAATCGGCAAATCGCAAAGGTGGCAATGTAGGACGACAAACGACAAACATTCGTGCAATATTTTATGGCTTGTGGTCAAACGTTGAAAAGTCGAGCATTAACAAAAGTATGAATTTGTGAAACCATCGACGTGGCAGTTTAAACTCTGGATCAGATGCGCCACATCAGGTAAAACCTAAATTGTGTGCTAATTGCACTTTAAAATCAATTGTTTTAATCTCTACTCAGTTATTTTTCGAAGAAGCAAAAAAGCCTCGTCCTTCAACCATAGAAGCTGTCGTTTTAAATGTTGCCCTTTGCGTGACCTTTTTCTAACGCCGTACTTTAAAATCCATACTTGCATGCTGACCGATATTGCGATTTAACTTGCAGAAGGACTTCAGTTCAACATTCCCTGTGTACAATAGAAGTAAAACTTTTATTATTGTTCACCCTTGATTCTTTTTTGGAAAGTCAACAAGCTTAAAAAAAACTCAGCTTTTTAAAGTTTTGCTGTTGTCGTTGCCTTTTTCTGCTGCAACGCTTTGAATTAAGAAATGGAGGCACGGCTAATGTGTTGAACTGGTGGTAGTTTGGAGGTTAAACTAGTGCAGCTGTAGTTGGAGCCGCATTATTAGCCGTTACACCGAACAGTGAGTTCGGTTCCAACACTCCTTTAGATTGGACTGAAGCTCGGGTCGTGAGCAGCTGCTGTGTCACACAGACTCGCTGTGAGTCATGAGGTCGAGGCTTCGGCGGCGGTGGCGAGCTGCAGCCCCTCGTTGGCACAGCAGACGGGGGATTGGGACCCGGCGGGGCGGCGATGTGAGTTGGCATTCCTCGCGCATGCCCGTCCTACAAGTGCCAATGAGCCCTTCCTTTGTGTGTGTGTTTGTGCGCCACCATTCCTCCCATTGTGACCCGAACCGACCCCGGTGTTGGACTCGCACTCACCACACAAATCATTCCAGCTGTCATTGCTTGTTGTTTCCCTTTTTTTTTGTTTGTTTGTTTGTTTGTTTTACAGCTCCTGAACGCACCGTTTCCTCCTGTTCAGTCTAGTTTTTACATGTTTTTTCATGGTGATGGTTCGAAAAACTGTGAAGAATCTTTTCAGCAAAGAGACAATAAAAAGCAAAGACTGCACTGTGTTCCTCTGTGTCTCTGTTCTCACACAATTGTTTGCTTGTTCCTGGCCTACACCCTCCCATCATCCCTCGCCTTCTCTCTGAGCAGAAGACGCCTCAGCTTCCCTCTGGAATCCTCATCATGAGCCAAAATAGTTGTTGGTTTGGAGCCTGAAGTGATTCATCGACTGTTTAATTGCACCATTTAATTTGTGTAAATCACTTTCATAAATGATGTTCAGCTCTCAGACGCCTTGGTGGGGTTTAAACCGTCCTCAGGGACTTTTCCGTCTATACATCTGGAATAATGTCCAGCGCTGACCCACTTCTTCTTCTCTTTCTCTCCCGGCCCTCCACTCCTCCTCCTCCTCCTCCTCCTCTTTTTCCTCCTCACCCTGCAGCTAACTCGCTTCCTCCAAACTGCAGCCGGCGCTGAGCGTGTCTCCTCTTTCAGGGGTGTATTTCCTTTCTTTTCAGGGAGGAAACTGAACCCAGAGAGAGGCGCTCCGACTATTGACTCTCACTTGGCTCTGCGGCCCAGCTGACTGTCTGCTGGACGGACGGACAGACGTCTGAGTAGATGGATGGAGGCTGCATGTTGCTGCTCGCTGCCTCACGCTTCCTCACTGTTTACATGTGGTGCTGTGATTCCTCCACACATTGTGAGCATAGCAGAGCTGCCTGCTCATGTCTAACTAACTTTATTGCAGCCTGCAGTGGGCTTCGCTCCCCCTCCTCTGTGCTGGAGTCGAGGGGGAGTTGACCAATTGCCAGCAGCTGTTGCTCATTTCACAATGGTCCCGCCCCATACAGTGCCTAGGCTGGCAGCGCAGCCGCTACACGCCAGATGATCAGCGGCAGCGCTCAGTTTACTCACAGGAGTATGTCCACACTGTGAAGGAAACTCAAAGAATCTTCGAGCGGTGAGAGCAGCTTGACTTTTTCTGAATTTTTTACCCCTCAGTGCTGTATTTGAGGAGATTTTGTGCTTCAGTAGAGACACAGAGTGACTAAAGGAAAAGGGATTGAGTCATGATTTGTCACAGTCTGATGCATGTCCTCTGTAATATTCTGCTCTGAATCTTTTGTCTGCCACGTTAAAGAGGATTTAAATCAGTAGAAAACTTCCTTTTGATTTATGTTTGTTTGGATACTTGTCATGTGTGCTATCAGAGATGTGAAGGTTTTTCTCTGGATCACTTCACATTCTTTCCATTCCCCATTTAGCCTCAGACAGAAGCACCTACTCACACAGTCACTGTCATCAAAAAACCAGTGTGGGGTTTTTTTTTTTTTTTGACATTTTTCGGCTTCCACGACTTTTTTTGACTGAAGAGAAAGAAGCTGCCGACTGAGGAGAAGTTTAGGGGGCAGAGTTCAGCGCCTCGCCTCAGGCTCGGTTTATTACACTGCTTACAAAGAGGTGTGAAGTGGAGAGGGTTGGTGCTCACAGTGTATGATAATGCCTTCCACTTGTGGTGGGACTTTCACAGACTTGACCACTACATGTGGGGGCGGATAAGAAGAAGTTTCCTGCTTGCGAGCGTCTCTGGCTTCCTGCATTGGTCGCCCACTGCAGCTGACATCAGGTTTTTGTGCTTCTCTTAGTATTGGTTCCTCTTTTGTGGGGCTGGATGAGCAGAAGGGAGATAACTAAAAGCTGCATATGCAGATTGTGACCCTGCACTGTGTGTTCAGCCGCCTCGGCAAAGGTTTCATTAAAAAGGGATTATTTGGCACAGTGACGCCCAAAGATAAAGTTTCCCCTCCCGAGTCTTTGCCCTCGTTCCAACTCTCACTTTCTGTCTCCCTCCCGCTGTAGCTGTGTTGAGAGACGTCCCGAGCGGAGCCCAGATCCCGTTGTGGGTTAATTAAATCCCCGCCATCGCCATCAACACCGTCCCTCCCCCTGGTCGAGCTGAAAGAAAGAAAAAACCCCACCGTCCTGAGCGGGACAGCATCTTCCCTCAGCCTCCGTCCTCTGCCTCCTCATGTTCCTGCAGGCAGAGCGGAGGGCAGCGCGAACTCACTGTTACGGGGATGGCGCTGCGCAGGAAGCTGCTGGTCTGCATGTTGACCGTCAGCTTGCTGCTGTGCGTCTACGTCCTGTGTTTCAACCTGGAGAGGCCCTTCAGCTGGTCCATCCCTCCGCTGCTCAGGTCAGTTCACGAGTTCGAAGACTGTTTCTTCACTGTTTTGGCTTGTCAGACACACAAAAACTGACATTATTCACATTCACATCAGATGAGCTGCATTTAGTAGAGATCCTAATCACACAGAGGGGCATGTGATCATGTGTCAAAGAATCTGGTGTGAAATCTGATTTGATTTAACCCTCTGACCCACAAAAGAAAAAACATTTAAAATACATTTTGTTTTAAAACTGGCACCATTTATCAAAGCAAGAAACTGCAAAAACAGAATCATCCGATATTCAATTTTCCAACATTCCTTGAACTAAGCATGTCTGAGCAAAGTTATCTTTTATCATAAATCACCACAATGACACCATTCATCAGAGCAAGATGTTGCAAACACGGAAAGAATCGTCAGATTTGTAACCTTCCAACGGGCCTTGAACTAATCGTGTGTGTCACACACACACTTCTATCAGGAAAAACAACTAAATCCAAGCTTTGAAAAATCATGACAAAATTCAAAACAAGCTCCAAACATGAACAGCTTGCACCAGATTCTGTTTAATTTAAAAATTCCAGAAGCCATGATTGATTTAAGTGAATTAAGTTTTCAGGTGAACTGCAGGCCGGAAAATCCAACATACTGGATCAATAAATAAATGCAGCATGGCTCAGAAATGGTGAAACACCTTCCTACAGCGGATGTGCAGTCATCGGGTTTTCACCTTTCCAACGGTCTTTGAACCAATCGCGTGCATGGGTGTGAAAAGCATGTCATCTTTTAAAAAATTACCAAAATGACACCATTTATCAGAGCAACAAAAATGCAGGAACGGAGAGAATCGTTGGATTTTCAACTTTCCGACCGCCTGTGAACGAATCGCGCAGTTCTATCAGGGGAAAATCCCAATATTTCATGAGAAAAACAGTTTGTTCTACATGACTGTTTCAAAATGTGCAGTGTGTACGAGATGCTGATAAAAACTAGGCCAACAGTCAAAAATTCATTTCAGAGAGTTTCAGGTGAACTGTTGGCCGTGTTTTCACCGTTTCCGCAGCATGGCTCAAACACGGTGACGCATGTTTCTACAGCTGATGTGCAGAATAGTTTGAACGTTTATAGAAGTTGTACAAAGGTAAATAATTACCCTTGCAGTGTTGCTAACATGCGTGGGCAGAACAATGTTGACCACGTTGAGTCCAGATTTTTGACATTTTTTGTAAAACAAAGGATCAAAGAGCTGAAACTGAAATCTTTGCTTCAGGCCATGAATGCAGCATAAAAGTCACAGTTGGAACAAACAGAATAAACACCCACAATATCTGGCTGACACGTGATTAAAGTCAAATATGCAGTTGTCAAAATGGACACAGTTAATAAAGTTAGAACAACACATTTAAAAGTCCAGAGTTCAGCTCGGCCAGTTGAACCTCCTGCTGTGCTTTTGTTTTCAGGAGAAAGATGCAGCGTATTTGAAAGCTGCTAATAATTTAGCTTTTGTCTTCACAATTTGCAGAAGTTCTGTGTTTGTTAAAATTCATGGACCGACCAACAGAAGTTAAACTTGAATGAAGTTCTCCTTTTTGGTTTATTAAGCAACAAAAGTCATATGGAGACAGGCATGCATCCTGTTTTTATTATACTTGCTCTATATCGGAGCACATTTTCCCTAAAAACAAACAGCTGCCAAGTTTTAAGTCTGGTTAGAAAGTCTTAGCTTGAAATTCTACTTTTATCCAAGAAGTTTCTGTTCCAGCCCTCAGAGCATGATGAAGGTTGAACAACACAAGCTCTAAATGTTAAACCTGGTGAAGTGACGCTTAAAGACGCCGTGTGACCATAATGTGGAATTAATTCATGCTACTGTTAGAGACGATTCATTCCACATAAAATCAAGCACATCTTTAACAAATAAAGTTCCCAGTTGACCCTCTTATTCATGTACAACAGCTTTACTCTAATTAAATCTTTATTTATTCCTTTATATCAAAGCATTCTTCAGCACAGAGTGAATCGTGTTCAGAAGTTCATCCTGGTATCAAATGTTGGTAAAAACCAGACCTTTCATTTGCTTGTTAAATTATTATATCCCATAATATTGACGCTCAAAGTATTTGAACAGCTTCGAGCATCAAACTTTAAAATTATTCAAAATGATTCAGAATTTGTTGAAAAAGATTAAAGCTGCCACACACACACAAAAAAAGTCCAAAATGACTGAAAGTTTGTTCAAAATGAGACAAATATTGTGAAAAACCGAACAAAAAACAGATTTAGTGTTCAGACTGTGACACCTGGATGGACGCAGAACTGATCTGGTGTCAGTTTTTACCAGATGTGATTTTCATCCTGAAATGCGTCCATCTGTTAAATATGCTGAACTAACTGCACAGAGAACATCAGCTGATTCTGAGGAGGGCAGGTGGAGGAAATGATTTGATTTGTCACGATTAAGGATTTCAGAACTCACAGGTTTAGTGAATTCTAGAGACTTTTAAATGGACTTTAGTGCAGCGACTCCAAGTTTTACCCTGAAAATGTTGGATTTTGTTTGAGAAATGGCTCCATTCACTCCGTTTGTCTCCTGAAGTCAGACTTTAGTGTCGTTTTTCTCTCTTTTGTGTAACTTTGGTGTCAATTTATTGCTCTTTTGTGTCTCTTTGGTCTAATTTCATGTCTCTTTTGTGTCCGTCGGTGATATTTGTCTTTTTGTGTAGCTTTGGTGTCACTTTGTCTCTCTTTGATTTGATTTAGTCTAATTCTTGTGTCTCTTCGGTGTCCTTTTGTGTTTCTTTGGCGCTTTCTTGTGTCTGTTGTGTTTCTTTTGTGCAATTTTGGTGTCAGTTTATTTGCTCTTTTGTGTCTCTTTGTAGTCATTTTGTTGTGTTTATTATGACCAGAGTTGTGTGACCCATAGCATGCTGTTTGTTAGTCCGTCCCCGGTGATGTGTTACTTTAGTCTGACATTATTTTCATCATTTAAGACTCGACCATCTTAGAAAATATTCACATTTGAGAACTTTTGGGATTAAAACTGATCCTGTTTGTGTTTCTGGTTTTGGCGGGAAACTGTGGGTCTATTGGCGACCGCATCGATGGTCCACGTCCAGGACAGAATCCAGGTCGGCCGGGTTCAGGGGTTAAACTCTGGGATCACGAGCACTACGAGGAGTTTTGTGTAACCGGCACTTATCCTCCTCCTCTTCCAGTTGTATCGCGGCGGTTTCAACAAAGGAGCCACACAACGCCGTGGCCGCTCGAATGAAAAAACTCCCCGGAGTTGTTTCGCTGGAGGTGGTCTCTCACACACGTATGTGAAGTGTAGGCTTTGTTGGGACGGGCAGCGGTCCAGCTCCGATGCATTAAGACGGTTCGATTCTCGGAGCTCCGTTTCGCTCTGAATGTGAGTCTGAGCCCGAGGAGCTGGTTTTAAAGGCCTGGATGTGAATGGCTGCATTAGAAGCGCCACATGAATGCGCTGCTGAATGTCCTAAAATAAGACGCAGAGCAGGAAGAGCCCACGGAGCAGCATGTAAGTGAATATGAGGCGTATTCAGGAATCAGTTAGAGACACACAAAAGACTGGAAACATGGAGGGAACAAAATAAAAAAGGGGTGAAGTTAAGGACAGAAGCTCTGTGAGACTCCAGAGAGTGAATGTTCTATATGGTTTCCAGTGACGTTCTGGTTCTCTGTCGTACTTTGTGTTTTTGTCATCATTTTATGACTCTTTGTCTAATTTTTGTGTCTCTTTAGTGTCATTTTGCATCTCCTTGGTCTCTTTGGTGTATTTTGGTCTTTTTTGTGTACCTTTGGGTCATTTTGTGTCATCTAGTGTCTCTTTAGTGTCACTTTTGTGTCTCTTTGGTGTCGTTTTGTGCAACTTTGAGTATTTTTGTGTCATTTAGTGTCTCTTTAGTGTCTCTTTTGTGTCATGTGATGTCGCTCCGATGTTGTTTTGTCTATTTTTTGTGTGTTCTAGTGTCATTTTGCATCTCCTTGGTGTCATTTTAGGTCGTTTAGTGTCATTTTTATGTCCCTTTAGTGTCTCTTTGATGTCGTTTTGTCTCATTTTTGTGTCTTTTGTGTCATTTTGCACCTCTTTGGTGACCTTTTGTGTCTCTTTGTCTGCCTTTGGGGTTGTTTTGTGTCTCCCAGGCATAATTTGGTCTCTTTTGTGTCCCTTTGGTGTCATATTGTGTAACTTTGAGTATTTTTGTGTCATTTAGTGTCTCTTTAGTGTCACCTTTGTATCTCTTTGGTGTCGTTTTGTATCTTTTGTGTCTCTTTAGTGCCATTTAGTGTGTCTTTGATGTTGTTTTGTCTTTTTTGTGTGTTTTTAGTGTCATTTTGGGCCATTTTGGGTCATTTTGTGTCTTTTTGTCTAATTCTCGTGTCTCTTTAGTGTCACCTTTGTATCTCTTGGGTGTCATTTTGTATCTTTTGTATCTCTTTAGTGCCATGTAGTGTCTCTTTGTAGTTGTTTTGTCTTTTTTGTGTCGTTTGGTATCATTTTGTGGATCTTTTTTTGTGTCTCTTTGTAGTTGTTTTGTGTATTTTTTTAAATCTGAGTTGTGTGACTGATCGTAGAAACACTTCCTGCAGAACTCCATCAGGCCGTTGGTTAGTCTGTCCCTGGTGATGTGTTGTTTTTGTTTAACATCATTTTTATCATTTCAGACTCGACAATGTTAGAAAATCAGCAAATATTCATGTTTGCGAGTTGTTGGCGTTAAAAACGATCCTGTTTGTGGTTTTGGAGGAAACCTTCAGTGTGTTTGGGTCTTTGCTGTTAGGAGGTGCTCCTAATGTGTACTGAGTGGACCCAGAATGTGACGAGGGCAACAGGGAGTGATTACAAAAAAGGTTTATTGTGGAACACCAGAGAGGCGAAGGGGAGCGCCGGTGCTCGTAGGTCTTCAGTGGAGGAGGTTAGGGGGGGATCCAGGGACTCCAGTGATGTGGTCCAGTGCTGGGGATCGCCGTGCTCCAGGGGAAAGGTGCTCGAGGCGTGAAGAAACCCGTGAGTGCGAACCGGAGTGCTGCTGCTGGTGGCTGACTTGTTGTGGCAAAGCTGGAGAGGACGTCAGGCTGAGGAGGCTCTAGAGTAGGCGAAGGAAATGAAAGGAACAGGTTAACAAACAACTCGAGAACTGGTCTTGGTCGATCTACCGCTCTAAGCAGAGTGAATCGAGGGGAGAAGCCGGCTTAAAAGCAGCGCTGATTACAATGAGGACAGGTGTGGTGGAGGGCGAGTGAGTTCTCCTCGGCCGTGGCGCCGCCCAGCCCGACAATACAGAGCACAGCAAAAAAACACACCCAAAATACTAACAAAACAACGGTTCTGGACTAGAAGCGGTTTCACAGCTTCGTGTAACATCTGAACAGCCCGTTTTAAAGTTTCTTCTCTGCCGGTGAACTTTTGATCTTTGTTCAACACACCAGGTCCAGTTACATTTTATTTCTGCTGCTTTATGACGTTTGCTGCTCGTTAGCGGCTTTACGAGATTTGTTCTCGGCCGGCGGCAACGGGAGCAGCAGCTGCTCCGTCGAGCTCATAAAGCCAGCAGCCAATCAGGGCGAAGCAGGGCGCTTTGTTTACCTGACAAGACGCCTCTTATCAGCTGCAATGTTTCCCACCTGATGCACAACAGGATGGACACACAACACTGTGAGGCAGTGTCTTAATCACACTTTATCGATGGAATAAACCTGCAGCTCCACAACTGTTCAGATTAAAGAAAGATCCACCAAGTAGCTCCATAAAACCTCCGACAGTCGACAGTTATCGACTCAGTGGAGTCTGGATTTTAACACATTTTCGTAAATGTCTAAGAATGTTTTCAGTTTGTCGAATCGGATTTAAAATGTAATCTGTGGCACAATAAAAAGTGAAAGACTGAATCCGTGACAAGATGTGGCTGAAAGCTGCACAACAAGCTAAAAAGTAGAACCTGAGTGGGTTTTATTTACTGAAAAAGTGATGCTTTGTGTCAATTTGGTATCGTTTTATTCTGTGTTTAGTGTCATTTTGTGTCTCTTTGGTGTTGTTTTGTGTCGTCTTGGTGTCATTGTGTTTCTTTTTGCTGTTGTTTTGTGTGTTTTTAGTGTCTTTTTGTGTCTCTTTGCTATTTTGTGTCTTTTTGGTATCATTTCGTGTCCGTCTGCTGTCTTTTTGTTTCCTTTTTGTTGTTGTTTCGTGTCCCTTTAGTGTCATGTGTCTTTTTGGTGTCAAAAACTAAAAAATGGATCTCCTGAAGAGATCAGTATGTTTTTAAAAAGGGACTATTCAAGTGATTTATTCAGGAAACCTACAAATGTTGGCTCTTTCCAGCTTCACAGCATTGCATATTGAATATTTTGGGACTTTGAACCAAATGTGACCCGTTAAATCAACCACTCTTAAAACACAACGGGCCGTATTTGCTGTGTTCAGGTATTTCTTTTAGACTAAGCGGTTAGATTTTGCTTTACAGATAATGAAATCGACCACTAATTGCTTCCTTTTTTAAAGAACAAACTCACACTTTCTCATAAACTGTTATCAGATTGTGATTCTGCTTCTTTGAATTAACGAACTTCCCCTCCTCTTCTATCTTCTCTAAAAGTGAGATCAGCATAAATACAGAAATGTTCTCGTGTAAAATAACAAATATGGTTCCATCTCTTAAAAACAGAAGAGGAGAGAACATTCACTAAGACCTTAAATCTTCATTAATGTAAAGACAACAGTCATGGATTTATGGGTTGGATTTATGACATCAGCTCTTCCGTGTTCTCACATCTAATTAACATATTATTATGTGGGAAGCTTAATTAAAGGCTTCGTTCTCCCAAATGACCAAAAAACCAAAACGATGTTCTCATGCGGAGGTTTTGGCTTCGACGATGATCCACACCAACTCTGTCGACACGTTTCATAGAAACTGGAGACGTCCTGTTCCTCGGATTAAAGAGACAGTAAAGTCCTCAAAACAAACACACTTCCTCGTACGCAAACAGTGAACAAAAGGAAAAATAAGCAGAAGGATTATTGACCTTGTCATGTCTGTGAACTCTTGATTAAAACTTGAAGACTTTAGAAACGCTTAAGTCGCTGCTCTTCTCTTTTATATTTGATCCAAATACAGTTTGAGGCGTTGACTTCATCCCTTATTACGTCGTATGTTTTTATTATTTTACTCTGATTTGTCTTTTAGCTGTTGTGTTTTTTGTGTTTTTTGTGTTTTTTGTGTTTCATGGTTCGCATTTTGGTTCAACGGTGGTAGTTGTTTTTAAATGTGCTTTATAAATTAATCTGACTTTTGTGTTTCTTTGGAGTTGTTTTGCGTCACATTGGTGTCCTTTTGCATCTTCTCTGTGTTATTTTGTGTCTCTATGTTGTCATTTTGTGTCACTTTGCCTCTTTTTGGTGTCATTCTGTGTCTGTGGTGTTGTTTTGCATTACCATGGCATGGTTTCATGTCTCTTTGGTGTCATTTTGTGTATCTTTCTTGATGTTTTGCATCTTTCTGGTGTTCTATTTCCTTGTGCGTCTGCTAGGTGTGGTTTTGCATTTCATAGATGCATTTTTTACATAAATTTTCAGATTTGCTATTAAGCAGCCTTGTGGAACAGTCGCTTTGCATTTCACTGCCTGTTCTGTAAAAACAAATAAAACTGTTGAAATAGATAGATGTTCGTATGTATATGTGTGTGTTTTTGTTGGTACAGCAGAGACACGTGTAAACAAACCGACATGCACGGGTGGACATGTCGGTTATTAGGTCAGCTGGTAAGTCTCCCCACATGGAGATCCTAATGCACTTTGAGAAGCGTCTGTTCCAGACGGTTAATTTCTGTTTTTCCTTTACAATGATTTAAGGGAAGTCCAGGATGCTTCCTTGCCTGATAAACGCTGTCATATCAGTGAGAGTGCACAACAGACACATTAATGGAAAAAAACAGCAAGTTGAAATAGCTGGAGTTATTTTTCAGCTGGTGCTTAAGTTGGATTTTAAAAGCAAAACTTGTAATAATATTGTTTTTATTCAGCGTTCTCAGTGAAGTCACTGAAGGCCTCCTTTAATAAAGTGCAGTTCACCACATGACATCACATGATGAGGAAAAAAAAAAAGGTTCTCAGATGATGTATTTCCAGCAGTGACCCACCGGGCTCATCGCCAACTCTTCTGTCTTCCACAGCGACTCCGAGGAGCCTCCTGACAGACCGAGCCTCGCCGACCGGGGGACCCAGCCGGCACCGACCACCCACCAGAACAGAGCCGCTCTGAACCCAGCTTTAAAGACTCGCACAGCCACCACTGCTGCTGCTAAACTGCAAGCGCAAGCAGAAAACGATGCCCCGGATCTGTCAAAGTCCAGCTCCAAGTCTGACGGTGCAGATAAAACCAGAAACAGCACCAGAGGCCCAACAGTTCGGCCCATGAAGCCTGCCAGAGCCACAGAGCCTCCGTTCGTCGGAGACACTTATATGAGCGACTACATCAATCCACAAACAGTGAGTTTCTAACTGGTCCTGGTTTGGAAATGTACCTCCTGTGTGTGGCAGATTTCAGACAAATATGAACAAAATTGCATGTTTGTGTCCAGAAGTCTCCTAGAAATAACAGTAACATGTGACTGAATAGTTTTCCGGTCATGTTTCAGTGCAGCATAATTGCTTCTGGTTGAAGTTATGCAATGATTGCCAGGTCAGTGTACAACCATAAAACAGTTTGATAACACTGTAATGGACGTTGTACAAAAACATCTGATATTTGAGTATGAAAAAAACAACAAAACCTTGTAACTCGCCAAATATGTTCCTTCATAACACTTTCTCATTCAATTGATGACTGTTGCATTGTAGATGGATGTGAACATCGTTTTTAGGAGCTTCAGCTGCTCTTTTAATTCAAGGATACAAGCACAAAGCAGCAGGAAGTGAAAGTTGTACCACAGGAACTGGTTAATAATCTGCAGAGCATTGAGGTCAGGTTGTCACACTGGTCTGGTTGCCTTCAAGCTCAAGATGCTGTCATTGGGCAGCTGCCTCAGTCCGACTGGGTGGGTCGGTTTTCCCAGTGAACGATTAGGTGGAAGTACAGTCGTGTTTACTGGAGCCTGACTCCGTCTTCTCCACTCCCTGAACATGAGAACACAAAGTTTCCACTGCGAGGAATAAAACAGGGAGGATGAGAAAACACAAGAGATGAAATAAAAACATGACTCAAATCTGGCTCTAAGACTCTGAATGTGGGAGAAATCACAAGGTTTTCTGTCTGTAATGACTTCATGTTGTGAATCACAGTTTTTATGTGAATTTCCTGCTACGCACACTGAACTCAGTAATAATAAACCTTTATTCATGTAACACCTTTAAAAATAGCATTGTGGGTTAGCCACTAGCATTCGTTCGCTATTCACTTGTGTCTTTACGCTGGTGACCAGGTTGTGTCTTGCATACAGTCACATTCGTCATCTAGCATTTTTAGGCTCGTAATGAGCATTCCTAAAGTAGTCGCTAGCACTCCTAAACTAGCATTTTACTTTCCTAGGCTTATGAATAACTTTCTTAGGCCAGTAACTAGCATTCTTAGCCTATTTACGAGCATCCCTTTGCTATTCACTTGCCTCTTTATGCTAGTGACTAGCATCTCTAACATTCCTAGCCTTAGAAAAAAAGCATTTCTTGGCTTGCCACTAGCATTCCTAGACTAGCAACTAGCATTTCTAGTCTAGTCACAAGTATTGCTAGGCTAGTGACCAGCATCCCTACCTAACATTCCTAACCTAGCTTTCCTAGGCTAGTGACCGGCCTTCCTGAGGTTGCAACTAGCACCCTAATCTAGTGACAAGCATTCCTAGGCTAGGTGATAGCATTCATGGGCAACTAACATTTCAAGGCATGCAACAAGCATTTGAAAGGTAGCCACTACCGTTTCTAGGTTAGTGACTTGCAAGTCACAAGCAGTCCCAGGCAACTAATTAACATTTCTAGGCCAATCACTAGCTTTGCTTTGCTTTTCACATGCCTCTTTATGCTAGTGACTAGCATTCCTAGCATCCCAAGGTTAGTAACATGCATTCCTATACGTCACTGATATTCCTAGTCTTCAAACTAGCATTTCTATGCTAGCTACTAGACTTCTTTAGTAGCCACTAGGATTCTTAATATAATGATTAGCATTCCCAGGCTACTTAATAGCATTCCAACACCAGCGACTACGATTTCAAAGCTAGCCACTAGCACTTGTAAGGTAGCAACGGCACTCTGAGGGTGTTTACTAACATTCGTGGGCTAACCATTTGTATTCGTAAGCTAATGACCTAGCATTTGTGTGCTAATGACTAGCATTCCTGTTATTTTCACTAACATTTCCAGACTAGCAGTATTCATAGGCCAAACAGTAGCATTCAAAAGCTAGTGGTTAGCATCCAAAATTATGCAGTGATTTTTTTGTCCGTTTATCCTTGAATACTTTCGCAGTGTTTTTACCAAAGTAAAGGATCTGAAAGTATTCATTATCAGTGTTATAATATTCCTCCACTTGAACCTTTTTGTGCCTCTTTGTCTGCGTGCTTGTGGTTTTATGTTTTGCACCTCAGCAAAGTGTGTTTGTGTGCTTTTAAGAATGTGTCTCCATGTCGTCAGCGCTGTTCTCTGTTAGCTGAGTAACTAATTATCAGATAATTGCCTCCGGTGAGAGTCTGGAGGTTCATGTTGAGGCTGAGCAGGCTGCCAGGTGGAACTAACGATGCTGCTCTGTGCACATCCTCAGTGGCTGCATGTGGGTCTGTGGACACCAGCCTGTGCTTTGTTAACAGCCCGGCTGTGTTATCTGCTTCCTGCAGGGCTGCACAGACGCTATCAGACGTCGGGTCAACCAAACTGAATTTGGTGGGCGCTTCCTGGAACATATTCCAATCCTGCAGTGGGCCGAACATGTGACGCCTGAACAATACCAGCGTCTGAGCCGGTACCCAGGGACTCACGGCTGGGCGGTAATCGAGTACAAGAGTGAGATTTGGTTTTTATTTCTTTTTGCCTTTTTAGTTTTGTTTTCATTTTGTTACTTCCCCGTTTCCTACATCCTACATTTCTTTTAATTTCAGCATTAAAAAGTTTTCTATTTTACTACTTTACACATTATTATAGGAAAGTGAGACCAAACATCCATTTAAGAGTGATGAAGAACAAACTTTTATTCACAAGAAGAACAAGGAGTCCAGCAGCAGATAGTCAGAGTCCTGGTATAGAAGTTCTCCAGCCTGCACGTGAACCTTCACCACTTTACTGTTTGTGTCTGAAACTGTTGTGCAGAGCATCCAGACATGAAACGCTGAGTATTTTAGATAATTTGATTGTGGAAATATGGGTCTCATCACAGCTAAGATGCTTATCGTGCAGCGATAAGAGCAGCTTCCTGCGCAGCCTTGAGGATTATCTTTCTGTCAGACCGACTGCAAATAGCTGAATCTGTGGGAGGATGCAATTACACACACAAAACAATGTTTTTTAAAAAGCATAAATGAAACACATTCAGATTAATTCTGTTTTTCTGTGTCGACAGCGCTGCAGGAAACTCTCTCTGTCCTCAACTCTACTGCCAGCTGGCAGATGCTGGACGACTGGAAGCGTCGCAGCAACAAGTCGGAGTGCAGCCGCTGTGCTGTGGTGGGAAACGGAGGCATCCTGAAGGACTCCAAGAAAGGGAAGGAGATCGACAGTCATCACTACATCTTCAGGTAGATTCTGACTCGGGCCTCCAGAGAGTTTCCTCAGTGGAGCAAAATGTCGTCCTGGCAGTCAAACCAGCATCGTTGGTTCAACAGCAAAATTCTGATGTTTACAGGGTTGAAGTCTTTCTGAAACCCTGTGCAGGTTTTTGGTAAACCCTTCAAAAATACACAAATGTGCAAAATGACAGTTAATGAGAGTTTCAACAAGTATAAACTCTCACATGGTTGCTCCGCTGTCTCTCTTCAGTTGTCCTTATCTCATAAAGTCAACAACAACTTGCTTTTTAACGCCAACATGTTCAAACCAAATCTTCTCATTTTTCAGGGCCAGAAACTGTAAAAGTTAGATTTTCAACTTTCAGACGGTCCTTGAATGACTCATCTGCGGCTCCATTAGCAAAATTAACCAAATGTGAGCTGAGAATTTCCAAGTTTATTTTCTTACGTATCTCTTTTACAAACATCGCCCAAAATAAACCGTTTGTGTGAGATCCTGTAAACAAACAAAGAATTCTGCCTTCCTCAACACATCTGAAAAGTCATGCGGCAAAATTTTGTCAGCTGAACTGCAGGCAGTGTTTTCACAGAGCAGGCAAACAACCGGGCTTCTTCTGCTCTGTTTATTGCAGCCCCGTAGCCTATAGCGCCACCTTCTGATGACACTGAACAGTCGAGTTCATTTACTCCAAAGCAGTTATTGGAAACAAGTCTGACTCACCGTTTTGTTTTTTCCCAACATTTAAAAATTTTGCTTTAAATTCACTTAAAAAAAAACTACATGAACTGAGCTTTTGTGGAGCGTAGAGTAACTTGTGTTCGAACAGAGCTGGAAGTGAGCTGGTGTGCTCGAGCTGCAGCAATGGTGTAGAGATGGGAACTTTATAGATCTGCAGATTCTAGAAGAAGCAACAGGGTAGAGCTACATGGAAACCATTTCCAGGCAGAAAGGTATCATTTGGATGCAAAAAATGTTGAAATACGATCCACTGAGATGAGTTTTTAGGGGTTTAATCGACAGCCACAGAGAGACTTTAAATGTGCTCACAAGAATGTGACCAGAAGAAGCTCTAGTGAGTTTACATTCTCAGCTGCTTTGGGGGTGAAATGTTCTGAACAGCTGCTGAGTTCTGGCAGCCACGCAGAGAAACCGAAGCAACAACAAGCCTCTGTTGGATTTACTGATGGATTAAATGATCCCAACTTTGTGCTCGTGTGTGTTTGTGGATCCTTGTGATCTCCAGGACCAACGGGGCGGTCACTAAGGGTTTCGAGGAGGACGTGGGCTCTCGGACCACCCACTACACCTTCTCCTCCAACACCATGATGAACTCCATGAGGAGCTACGCCCGCGCCGGCTACAGAGGGCCGCCTGTGTCCGAGGTGAGGGCAAGCTCTAAAGGTCTTTCCTGATTAAATGCTAAAACCGAGACGCAGGAGAATCCGGGCCTGAGTCACGTCACGCTCTGCTGCTCCCCAACAGGAAACGCGATACGTTTTCCTGCCGGATCACGACCGGGATTATCTGCTGATGAAGGCGGCAGCAACGCAAACGATGTCGCCGAAGGGACCTGAGCGAGCTAAACAGTGAGTACAGATGACATCCAACGCCTGAGTGAAACATGTCGACATATCGATTGCAGATTTTGTTGTGATTCCCAGAGGATGAATCGTGAAGTACAGATTCAGATGCACAACTTTCACTGCGCACCAAGAAGTTGATGAGCAGGCTGAGGATGTGTTGTTCATATTTTTACTCCACACTCACACGTAGCAAGAAATCTATAAACAAACATCCATGTTGTTGAGTCAAAATGTATGAAATTTGTGTTTTGCAGCTTTGACCTTTAATAGCCTTTAACACTCCTGTCACATGTTTCTTCACTGTGAGCTCATTTTTCACTGCAATGTAAAGTCCTGCACCTCTATGCAAACAGAATACCGTGAAATGTCTTATTTCTTACAGTGTTATAAATCATTTATAAAGGAAAGTTTTGATCATTACTTTTACAAAAACTTAATGAACCTGGAATCGGCGTGTCCGTAGGTGTTACCAACACTGGTCAAAAGATGGTGGCTTCACATGCTATAGATGTTTTTTGCTGCCTATATATTTAATTTGTTCAAATACGCATTGTTTACAGTGTCTGCAGTTCAACCGAAAAGTTCTAACGTGACTGTTGGTCGCAGAGTCACTCAGTGACTTCTAGGTCGTGCTGATGAGTTCTTTTGTTTTGTTTTTTACAAAATCTGGCGCAAAAAGTTTATTTTTGGTGAGTATTTAAATGAGACTTGGAGCAATTTTTGTGATTTTATTGTTACATTTGATAAATATTCCAACAGTCACATCATGGATGATATGATGAGTTCCAGGACCTACAAAAAGTTGAAAATCTGACAATTATTTCTGTTTTAACAGTGTCTAGCTCTGATAAATGGTGGAATTTGGAGAATTTAAAATGTATGTATATATATATATATAACTCAAAATCTTTCAAATTTTATATATAGTGGAAGAAGTATTCATATATTTTACCAAAGTAAAAGTACCAGTACATCTGTGTAAAAATACTCCATTACAAGTCAAACTCCTGGCGTGCTTCCTCTGGCTGATGTATTATTATATATGACACCATTAGATTATTAATAGTGAAGCGTCAGTGTGTCGGCATCGTGTTACTGTTGGAGCTGCTGCAGGTTTGAACTATTTTATAACCAGTTTTTATTTTATATTCAGAGACAGTAGATGAAGCTGAAGGCTACAAATATGACTAATGGGAGAAAAACTAAGATCAGATGCACAAGTTTCTTTTTGCTTTTTCTATAATAATTGAGGTATTTGATCAATTTAATTGAAATGAAACCATGTGAGGAGTTAATGGGGGGATCCCTACCTGGTGAAGCTGTTAACAGCTGAAGTGTGAGTCCTACTTCACACTGACTTCAGGGAAAAACCAAAAAGATTGCAAAGTTTAATCTGTTTGTATTTTAAGAGCTTGTTGGATTATCTGTTGTGTCAAACCAGCATCTTAAAAAGCTCTCAGATGAATGTAATGGAACACAAACGTGCAGTTGTTTCCTCTGACCTGTGGTGGAGTGGAAGGAAAAAGCTGATTTTTATTTTTTTTGTGTGTGTTAAAACTCAAACAGCTGCACAGACGTTTACTGGGTGTGGATGTTTTTGTTCCTTCCCGTGGTTAGTTTAGTCTAAATGAGTTTAATCTTTACCACTTATATCCACACAGTCTGTTCCTTCACTCCCTTCCACAGAAAGGAATGTTCTCCACCAATTAGACGTTCAGCTTTCTAATCTCTAAATGTTGCTCAATTATTTGTTATAATTAGAATTAATTTGTTTCCACTAATTTCCCCCCAACAGCCCGACCGAGTACTTTGGAAAGGACGTGTCGGCGGCAAAGCTGAAGATGTATCACCCTGATTTCATCCGTTACCTCAGAAACAGGTGAGAGCTCGCGTTTCAAAAAGCTGGAACTGAGATTAAAAGGCTGAAACCGGAGCGAGCTGCTGAACGAAACCCTCGATTTCTGTGGCACGTCTGTTCCAGGTTCCTTCGACCGCGCGCCCTGCAGAAGGTCTACAACATGTACCGTCCGTCTACGGGTGCCGTGATGCTGCTGGCCGCACTGCACACCTGCGACCAGGTAGATCCGTCGTTGCAGCGCTGCACGTTGCTGTCAGTCAGCTGTTCACTCACTGTCAGACAAGGCTGCACTCGCCTGATAGCGTGAGAAGGTTTTGACTCGGTGCGGCCGCGACCTCGCAGAAGCCTGATTAGCTGCTCGCAGTGACTCAACACAGAAATGTGCCTTTGCCCTCGTGGCCTGTGTTTTGTTCATCAGATTCTCTCCGCATGTCATCACTGTCAAAACCAGTTTTCCGTGCTGTCTGCGGGGGGAGATGGGGGGCTCAAGTCTAAACATGAAGCTATAACGTAGGCACACATGATGTATCGGCGACCACATCAGGATCGGCCGATCTTAGTGTTTTTTCTCATGTATCGGCATCGGTCCGATGAACAAAGTTAGCCGATGATTGTCTAACATCAGCTCCTTCGTCTCTACATTTGATATCGCTGCTACTTCACGCATGTTTTTCCTTAAATTATCCTGAACTTGAACGTTAAATATGTTAAAATGTGTTTTGCTTTTGTTACGTAGTAAAGCGGACCATGTGGTCTAATTTGGTGTGAGCTTCTTCTGAATAGTTTTCCCGTTCTCACAGTGCTTACTTAAACTCTTTTTTTTTGGTGTGAGCAAAAATTGAACATCAACATCGGTGATATCGGTGATCAGCGATATCAGAAATCTTAATATCGGACGTTGGTATCGGCATCACTGATGTCGTGCATCACTACCATGAAGCTCATATGGTGAAACGTCTGTGGCTGGTTTTGGTTGTGACTTTTGTTTCTGTTTTGGTGAAGGTGAGCGCGTACGGCTTCATGACGCCGGACTACAAGAACTACTCTGATCACTACTTTGACAACATCTATCGCCCGGTGGGCTTCTTCGCCAACCACGACCTACGGTTGGAGATGAATCTGTGGCAGCAGCTGCACCATGCAGGACTCATCCAGCTCTACATGCGCCAGTGAACGTGGCTCGAGCAGAACCACCGGCGTCGCCACGAGCGGACGGGAAGTGCAGGAGAATTTCACTACAGTGTGATCTGAGCTAGATGGAATTATTTTTTAAAAGTAGCAGAAGTTTTCGTTTCATGAAGGAAGCGAAGGTTGTTTATTTTTAAATGACAGCTGCTGTGATTGTTCAGGTGGAGGTTTAGGTTTATTTATCAAACAGCGTTTTGTTTTAACTTTTTTAAAGAATACTTATTTATCCTGGAAAGCAGGTTTTTGGTGATTTGTACGTTTCGATATCCAAATGAAACTGAGCTGAGCTGGTGAAAAAGATTTTGCATTTCAGCTCTAAATAAGAAGTCCCATCTGGACCCGTTCCTGCTGCTCATCACGTTTGATCAGAATGTCAAAATCTCAGATTCGTCCTCTGAATCCAGTGCGCGATTAAATTTAATTGGTCCTTGAGGGCAATTAAACCAGAAAAACCAGCAACTTGTTTCGCTGACTTGGTGAAACATCAGTAACTCTACACTAAAACTGACTAGACGACGTTACATACTCAATGTAAAATCTCACTCAAAGCTTTCGTTTTTGGTGTTCTACATGCTTGACTAAAAGAGAGGCTTCCAACATTTTGTTTGTAACGGTTATCAGAAAAATGCGGACTATCTGATTTGCTAATGGACCAGGCTGACAACTGGTTCACTCTTTCACTACACATTTCAGTTCGTTGGGTTTTGATTTGCACCTAAAAGTTGTTAATCATGGAGGTACTGAAACAGTTTTTTGCACCTTAAAAGTTGACATAATCCACGTGGTTCTCTTGTGACGCCTTCAGTACGAACACTTTGAGAATTTAGCGTTGTCGTTATTTGTGATTTGTTGGTTTGAACAAGTATGTTCAGATGTTCGATATCTTCAGAGGATAAATGCCTAAAATGCTTAATTTATACATGCGTGCTGCGGTAGTTTAGGTTAAGAAAGGATTGAATTTTTATTTGTTTCAACTCCAACAGTTCCAGCGTAGAAGCTGCACCGCTAACTAGCTTTGAGCAGAAGTGATTTCATATCGAGTCAATAACAGGTCAAAGTCTCGACATCTGCTGGACAAGGTGGCACAAATTTAAGCATCCAAAACAAATCAGCCTCCCCTTGGTTTCTTACGTAGCTCCATTATCTGATCAAACCCTGAATGTATTTGGAAACCAAATACCTTGAATGTGCACAACATTCCCGTAAGCCTCTGCTATTATCTGTCTATCAGCACATGTTAGCATGCTACAATGCTAAACTTAGAAGCAAAGTAAACAGTTAACCACAGATTGTTGGCACCGTCAATGTTAGCATGCTAACATTAGCATTTAGCTCAAAACAGTGCACAGCTGACTGTATCTGACTAATCAAGGAGGAAACTCTGCTCATGTACGAATCGGAGTCCGACGATTCTTTTAACAACCTTAAAGGGAAAACAAAGGGAGAAACTTTGCGTTCAGGCATTAACGGGCCACTTTAGATAAACAGCAAAACTTAATTTGTTCTGTTTAAGTTGCATTTCAGAGAAGCAGCGACTCAGGATTTCGGGAAGCGAGTCGACTGTCCTCCCTTATCAGAGGGACTAAAACCGCCCTGTCGTATTTTATTGGGCTTTTTGTTTGAACAGATGGCGTCAAACTGTAAATGTCCGCCTACAGAAGTGCTTCATGTCGTCTCAGCAGACAGACTTTGGACTGTCCTGCTGCTGAGCGTCCGTGTTGTTTCCGTTTGCCCACGTTTAAACCTACAAATCACCAGGAACATGTTTACTGCAGGAGCGTCTCGTACAATCAGCTTCTGGTTCTGTCTTGTAATTGTGCTGACGAGGGACGAGACTGTAATTGAGTTGGCCGCTTGCTTAAAAATATCCTGCGTCGCCACCCTAACGAGACCCTAAATAGACGGTGGGAGCCCTGCTGGCAGTGGCCAAAGTCTGATCTGACATTTACTCACATGACGTTTTCTCTGTTTTACTGTGGACGGTGGAGGAAAGAAAGAAGCCCCCAGACTGTGACTTTGAAGCTCGCCGGGGCAAATATTTGACCCTGGAAGTGTCTTGAGTTTAAGGGACTTAACTTATTATTATTTTTTTGAAAGCACACATGTTTCTGTTTTACAAGTTGCCTCACTGTGACGATACCAACACTGTGTGGGCTCTACTGGACCGTCAGTGCCTTTAATGTGAATCGGTGGTTTCCGCGGCAACGCAAACGCCGGCGGCCTTCTTCCTCCCCGTTTGGATTTCGGTGGCCGAGGACTGGCCTCGTGGAATCCGCCGCCACACCTGGACTCCTCTCTGAGCCGCCACAACGAAGAGTCAGAGTTCACTGAGATTTACTGTCGAGTCCTCCACGGCGCGGATGTTTGGTGGCAGAGTTTTATGGCGCTAACAGCGGCGACGACACACTGTGGGAAGGGAAGGAGGGAAGAAGGAATAAACCAAAAAAAAAAAACACACACGCAGCAAATCAGGGAATATTTAAGCTAACTGCTTTTGTTCTATTGAATCAGTTGACGTTGGGACAGCGGTCTGAAACACTGGGGTGTTTGTGCAGACGGTAGCGGGGGAAGGGAAACCTTTTTATAGTGCAATTTCTGACTCTGATTTTCAAATTGTGTATTAAAGGAAACTGTGATTTTACCTCAGCGGGTTCGTGCGTCTTTCTTGAGGTAAAGACTCGACTAAACTTGAAACATGAGCCGTGACCGTGTGCCGCCTCGCCTCCTAAACAATCAGGCTAAGACCGTACAGTGTTGTTAATTATTGAGTCTAATTTAGAATTAAAGTTATGATCGTACAAAAAGGATTCCTGACGTTTCCTATGATCAGGCTCCCTTTTTCTTTTTTATGCTTCTTTTTATGTATTGGTCTTGTACTCGTTGATAATATATTTAACTATATATATAGCTAATTTCCGGTGCAGCCTCAAGAGTCTTTCAGGCAACAAGTTGGATCAACGTCTTGAAATACGTCCACAAGCAAACTCACAGTTCAACATCGACAGTTTTGAAATAACCTCCTGCTGCGTTATTTGCTCGTTCAAGCCAACAGGTTCTTTCACACAACTGCCTCATGAAAGTTTTTTTTTTCCTTCATGCAGGAAGTTTACTTGAGATAAAGACTCGGCTAAACGTGAAATACGACCCGCGACTGTGTGCCGCCTCGCTGGGAAAACAAATTCAGATGGCAGCTGTGTGCCGCTCACACCTCCTCTATAATTACAGCAGGTCAATCTTTAGTTCGGAGCACGAAGCGGTCGAAGGAAACGCGTCTGTTTTTAGCAAACTGTGCCGAAGACAACAGCGGTCAGGAGGAGCGATGTGAGGGAGGGTCCATGTGGTCTGCAGGGCCTCCTTCCTTTAGATTCTCTCTGCACATGAACCACGTGACCTCCTCGGTTTCCTCCATGTCTGAACACTCGGTGCCAGATGTGTTCGGGGTGGGGGCTGCGTTTTGCCGTGAGTCAGGCTGAGCGGCGCTGCCAACACATCCGTCAGCAGGCCGTTACAGCTACACGCTGAAATATACCACTTTATTAGGAACGCCTGCTGAGGCTAGCGCAGCCCGGAGCGAAAGCCGAGCCATGAAGTCTGCCAGAGTGTTACAATCAGTCCAGAACAGAACCGCTCGCTGCCAACACGAGGCAGAACTTTCACCTGTGTGACAACTAAAACTGAAGACAGATGTTTAACATACACGGTGTACGTTAGACGGGGAACAGCTCTCCTGCCTCTGGCTAACTGTGCTGTTTGTTAAATCTTCTAGAGTTTCCCCAACATCTAGAAAAGAGTTTAAAGAAAGCCAACACGCTGAGTATGTAAAGATTTTCCACAAAAAAAAAAATCTGGGGTCAGAAAAAAACTTTGGAACACAAATAAATATAGAAATATTATAATAATCTAATTTAAACACAATACAGCAGTGTAGTTGTGTTGTTACAGAGAGTAGAAGAATGAAATACTGTATGTAGAAATATTTAATGTTGACTTTATCTTTTGCAGTGGTTCTCAAACTGGGGGTCGGGGCCCCCACGGGGGTCCCAAGATAATTCCAGGGGGGTCGTCAGCCATTCTGGAGATTGTTTTTAGTTTTAGGTCACTTTAAACATGCATATTTCCACTTTTCCAGCCTCTACAAGCTGCAGTTTTGGACTCTACTCAGTTGTAGGAATACATCTAATTTAAAAATGAAGTATTTTAATTAATCAGATTCTGTAAAAAAATAAAATAAAATTCTGTGCTCCTGTGCGCAGCGACGAAGCCGTGAGTGACTCAGCTGTGATGTTCAGTCACGGGACAAAAATTCAGTCATTTTTCGGTTAAATTGGACCAAAATCTGTGACGTGAAAATGTCTTGTTGAAGAGAGTGGACTGGGCTGACAAGAACCTGCTCCTCTGGTCACTGGTTCTGAGCCATGTTGCATTTATTTATTCATCCAGGAGGCTGTTTTCCTCTCAGTCTCTCTGAGGAAACACTGCCTGCACTTCAGCCCAAGACTGTCTCATGGCTTCATGTTTCAAAGAGTGAAGGATTCTTTTGAGTTTTTTTCCTGAATCTGGTTCAATTTTTGGCAACTTTCTAAACAAAACACGTAGAATGAAGTGATTATGATGAAATATCAGGATTTAGTTTATTTATTTAGTTGGCATGTGGAGGATCCCAGAATGTTTTTGAGCTTTTTCAGTTTCTGGCTCTGCTGAACAGTCTAATATTGGTGATTATTAACAACGTGCCTTTTAAACCCACCAGAAAAAGCAGGGAGAGGTGAGGAGGGAGGACATTGGGGTGAGATAGAACATCGTGCTCTATCACTGGACTGTGTGCAGTGTTTAGGCAGTTTGGCAATTTTGTTGCTGTATTGTGATGATGATAATGATGATGATGATGATTATTATTCATTATCATTATCATTATTGTTCATTATTATAATTATAATTATTATTATCATTATCATTATCATTATTGTTCATTATTATAATTATAATTATTATTATCATTATTATAACTGATAATGTTGTGTTGGGGCTGCAGGGTGGAGCAGTTGGTTAGCACTGTTGCCTCGCAGCAAGAAGGTTGCCGGTTCACATTTTTTTTCTGCGTGGAGTTTGCATGTTCTCCCCGTGCAGCGTGGGTTCTCTCCGGGTCCAGGTGTGAATGTGAGTGTGCTTGGTTGTCTGTCTCTAAGTGTAGCCCTGTGATAGACTGGTTACCTGTCCAGGTGAACCTGCCTTCACCCTGAGTCAGCTGGGATAGACTCCAGCCCCCCATGACCCTAGTGAGGACTAAGCAGTGTACAGATGATGGATGGATGGATAATGTTGTGTTGTTGTTGCTAGTACAACAATTTCCCCGAGGTTTCCACCAACGGGATCGATAAAGTTCTATTCTATTCTATTCTATTCTAAATGTTTTGTATTACACACTAAAAAGATCAGATCCTTGGGTTTAGAGAAAGTTTCTGCATTTCTAGTCATGAAACAAAGGTCAATGCACGACTCACCAATGAAGGTGATGATGTGCTGCTGAGTTACTCGCTGCTGCCCCTCAGTGGTGAGAACAGCTCAGTGCGGACTTCAGGACCGAGAAATGTGTGTAAATTATAAATACACTACTCACACTTAGCATCGCTCTTTATTTGTATGTTTAATTGTACGTTTAAACTTCACGGCACACGTGTGTGTTGAATTTTTTTTTTTAAATTAAAATGTACGACATCCGTGGATTCTGGGAGCATCGGGGCCACGTCGTGAAGTGAATACGAACAACGTTTTACTGACACAAACAATGACTCTGAATGAAATCAAAACACTTCAAAGCAGCAAAGATGAAAACGAGTTTTCTGATAACTGATGATCAAACAGCAGCAGGTTGTGGAGCTGCTGCTGTTTGATCATCAGCCAACAGGGACTCAATCAGCGCCGCGCTCTAATATTCCACCTGTACTCGGTTTCACACTCCACAGTAACTCCGCAGGCCTGAAGTGGGTCGTAGCAGCTCAACTTTAACGCTTTTATGATGAATTTTTAAAGCTGTGGACTTCAGAAAAATCCATTAACTTCTGAAGACGTGGATTCTGGTTTAGAGTTTGGAGTGTTTTTCATTATGTCGATGGCAGGTTTACTGAAAAACACCAGATCTGTTGTGTGAGATAGTGTTGAGTTGTTTGTTTGTGTAACATTGTAACACAACCTTCTCAGACCTACAGTTTTTTCTTGTAAACACAGGTTGTTCAGACTTTCAGATTCTTTTTGTGCCAGAAGATAAGAAGCATTTTAGGAAACCTACGTCACAAGTTGAACCACAACAGAAACGATGCATTCTGGGGCTGATCTAGTTTTGCCAACAGCTGCTGTTATGTTTAACTTTGACCTCTTTCTGAAGTCAACTCTGGAGAAGTGTACACAAAGGGGGGAAAAAATTCAACTGTACATCACCTGCATCTGAATATCTACCCTCTTCTTTTCAACAAATGTGGCACAACTGAAAAGTGGATCACGCAGGACATAATGTGATGCAGGGATGGAAAGGAAATACACACTAAACCTTACAGCATTAAATTTTAATGTGCTATGACAATATATGTACTTTATATATATATAAACTCACAATGTCATAACTTGCACAAAATGTTTTATTTGTTGCATCATGTGCAAACACAAAATACGTTTTATACTCTTTTTTTTAAAAAATTACATTATTTACAATGTTTATTTGCTAATTAATTATATACAGTTATTACATTAACATGAAGCCTTTTTTTTTTGTTTATCAGCATCTATTTTCTTTGACAGGTACTTAAAATACATTAACATTTTTAAAGTGCTTAGTACACTGATGAGAAGATTTACTTGGGACTATTGGCCAAAACAAAAGGGGCCTGTAGTATATTTAAAAAAATATCTTATAGAACAAAATAAATCCAGCAATGACGTTTTGTTCTGTTTTAAATACTTTAAAATATGCACAACATAAAGATAAAAAGTAAAGTAAAAAAACAAAAAAAAAACACAATAAAAACAGTTTTTGTTTTGGATCAACATACCTCCACACTCACAATTAATCCCTTATAGCAACCCTACACCTGTACAGTTTTTATCCTGTGTGGACTCTCATGTGTGTCTTCAGTTGTGTCTTTTGGCTAAATCCTTTACCACAATCGTCACAGCTAAATAGCTTCACTCCTGTGTGGACTTTCATGTGCCTCTGCAGACTTCCCTGATGTCTAAATCTCTCACCACAATCATCGCACACAAATGGTTTCTCTCCTGTGTGAACTGTCAGGTGAGTTTTAAGATTACACTTACGTCTAAAACTTTTCCCACAATTATTACAAATAAATGGTTTCTCTCCTGTGTGGATTCTTGCGTGTCTCTTCAGACTTCCTTGATGTCTAAACTTTTTACCGCAAACGTCACAGCTGAATGCTTTCTCTCCTGTGTGAACTGTCATGTGCGTCTTAAGATCCCCTTGCTGTGTATATCTTTTCCCACAAATATCACAACTAAACAGTTTCTCCTCCGTGTGGATTCTCATGTGTCTTTTAATATTGTGCGGATGAATAAACTTTTTCCCACAAAAATCACAACCAAATGGTTTCTCTCCGGTGTGCGCTCTTATGTGTGTCTTAAGATGTAACTTTCTGCTAAATGTTTTGCCACAAACATGACAACTAAAAAGTTTCTCTCCTGTGTGAATTCTGACATGAGTCTTAAGATTGTAATGCTGTCTAAATCTTTTCCCACAGACATCACAACCAAATGGTTTCTCTCCTGTGCGGACACACCTGTGTGCTTCCACATCTCCTTCTTGTGTTGATATTTTATTACACACAGCACAATTACAAGGTTTGTCTACAGAGTGGACTCTCACATGTCTCTTGAAATTATAAAGCTGTCTAAATCTTTTCCCACAAACATCACAACTAAATGGTTTCTCCCCTGTGTGTACTCTCATGTGTGCTTTAAAACTGTTCTGATGTCTGAATCGTTCGCCACAAATATCACAATGAAAAGGTTTTTCTCCTGTGTGGACTCTCAAGTGTGTCTCAAGATTTGTCTTTCGGTTAAAAGTTTGTCCACAAACATCACAACCAAATGATTTCTCTGCTCGGTAAACTCTTGTCTGTGGATCCACGTTTTGCTTCATTCTAGAACATTTCTTATTAACCGAACAGCTGGAGGAGCTTTTTCCTAAATGACATGTCATGTGTCTTTGAAGAGACTGCTTGTGGAGAAATTGTTTATCACATTCGGAGCAACCGAAAGTTTTTTTGTCACTGTCTTTAGTTTCAGATCCAGAATCTGACAAAGGTTCCTGCCATTCGTCATCATCATCTTTTTCATCCTCATCATCATTACTGATGTCAGTGTCAGAAGAGTCTGAACACTTTCCATCAGTATTTGGTTGCAAACTACTATTTGGATCTGGGTTCTGGGTTGGTTCTGGTCCTCCACAGTCCTCTCCATTACTTTCTGTTTTCATCTGTTCAGCTGAGCTGTCTGTTTCCTCTCTGTTGTCGTCACTCGGGCTCTGATGAAGCTGTGAGGACTGAGTTTTCTCTTCATCGTCTTCACTCTTCACAGCAGCAGCAGTGAATGAAAACCTGCTGATATCAGTCTCTTCCTGCCCATTAAGCTGCTCTCCTTCCTGTTCGTCCTTCATGTGGAGGAGTTCTGGGTCTTCCAGACTGGAGCTCCATTCATCAGGAACCTCTTCTTTAATAACCAACAGCTGCTGGACGTCCGCAGGAGACACTGAAACACACATGTACAGCATGAACAACTGCAGCTTGAAGTACGTCCATTCTGACAGTCAACAGTCTTAATTTCATGTGAGGAAACTTCCAGAGAAAGTAAATTCAGGATCAGTGAATATAAAGCTGACGTAGAGAAACATGTAAGTATGATGATAGACACTGTCAACAGTAATTGACACAGTTTTTAAAAGGCTTTTCTTTTTTTTATCAAATTTTTTTTTTTTTTAAACAAAAAAACAAATAACACCCATTTCACATTTGGCTGAATTTAAGGTTTAAGATCTCCATTGGTAGCGCTACAAGAAGAACACAAAGTATCCTGTAAAAACGTGATGATCTAAAGACGAACTTTTTTTTTTTTTTTTTTTTTAAACTACACAATAACAGCGATGTGTCCGCGCTGTAAACCGTCCGGGTGCTGCACTGAACCTCCACCATTAAGTTCCGCCGTTACACAGTTATCAACCAACTAACGTTATTATTGTTGCTGTTATTTATCCATTAGTGGTCAGATTGAGGTGAACAGGAGCTCAGCAGCTCGGTTCTTCAGTGAATCGTCTCCTCCAGCCTCCCTCCCAGCAGCTAGCAGTTAGCAGCTTCCTCCACATTAGCTGTGATTCTTCTTACCAGCGGTTTGCTTCAGAACAACGTCCTGCGGCTCATGGAGGCGTTTCATCCGCACTTTGTCCTCCAGACACACACTGTCAGTCCGCTGCTGCTGGACAGAATCCACCTGGTTCATGGTGTCAGACCTGCTTCTCTTCTTTAAAACTAACCGGAGGCTCGTTTACGGATGAATCGGGCCGGAGCGGAGTCGATCGTCGCCAGTTGCATTTCTGTTAAAGTTGATGGTGGATGTTTTGGAGCAGCTGACTGAAACAGAGAGACCTCTGTGTTTGTAAATGTTATTGACGTGTCTGCCGTGTTTTTAATCAGGCATCTGCACGGACACCTTCACCCTCTGTCACCATGGTAACCACAGCCTCAGTGATTTTATATTTTATTTTTAAAAAATCTTCTTGCTCAGTTAAATAGTTTTTTTCCCCTGCCAAACAAGCCATTCTAGCTGCATCTCTGGTGCTAGTTATTTTATTTATTTTAAATATTTTTATTTAAGACAACTTTACCCCCAATGACTCCTTCATAGGGAGAATGTTTCTTTTAACTGTGAAAACAACAACAGATTTCTCACTTGTCTTTTTCAGGAACATGTCATGCTCTGAATATATTTATTTCTATATAACTTTTTCATCAAAGAAGATTCCCTCTGCCATAAATACAGTTGATGTGCACAGTGAAGAATGCACAATATAAAACAAAAATAAAACCAAAAACTAATTCAAGCTACTAAAATATTTAAATTTACAGAGAAAAACGACTCAGGTGATAAACTTTAACTGCCGTTTGAGTGTTTTCTTTGATTAGACTTTATTTGTTGTTATATATAAAAAAGAGATTAAAAAAAAAAAAGCAGAATAAAGGTGTCCGTGCAGATGCCTGTCAGAAATATGATGTGTTCTGCGCATGCGTGGCTCCTCTACGAGCCTCCGGTTAGTTTTAAAGAAGAGAAGCAGGTCTGACACCATGAACCAGGTGGATTCTGTCCAGCAGCAGCGGACTGACAGTGTGTGTCTGGAGGACAAAGTGCGGATGAAACGCCTCCATGAGCCGCAGGACGTTGTTCTGAAGCAAACCGCTGGTAAGAAGAATCACAGCTAATGTGGAGGAAGCTGCTAACTGCTAGCTGCTAACTGCTGCTAATGTTTGTTTACGGTTCAGACAGAAACGGGATTCGTTGGACAGAAACACAAACCGTTTGCCTTTAACTCGACCCACATGAGGAGATACGTGTAATGTGAATTAAAACAGGATCTGAACATTGTTTTGCCGCAGAATCTCCACAGTTTGACGCTAAAAATGATCGTGTTGCCATGACAACTGCGCCCGGACTGCAGACGGATCAGGCAGCAGCAGGGAGCGTTAAAGGAAACAGCAGCCAACAGTCTGTACAGAACCAGATTTATTAAAATGTTATCAGACACATGGATCTGTTTGTTCTGTTCATCTGTTCGTGGTTCAGCACCAGATCAGGTTATATATGAACCAGATGAGCTGAGGGGTGCACAATCAAACATGTTCAACATATCCAGGTTTTCTGTGCATTAACCGGCTCAACAAAACCTAAAACCCTAATTAAAGACAGAGCCTATCAATTACAGATAATGGATTAATGTGAGCAGCTTGTTTTTGCGTTTTCTGAAATGACCTGCTGATAGTTTCTCATTCGCTGTGTGTGTTCTTTAGACATCTGCTGGTGTTTCCTCGCAGCTTTGTGCCATCTTTGATTTGTTTTACGAAGGTGCTCGTCTCACTGCCTGGAAACTGGTCAGCCAGTTCCACACAGCCCGGCTGTCTTTGTGTTGTCTGGCTCAAAAACAACCTATAAAGCCACTTAGACAACAGGCATCACAACAGCAATAATCTTACATTTCTTCGTCAGACTCGAAGCATCCTTTCATACATGATGCGACTTTTCTTCTGCACAAAATAGACCAATCATGTGTCGTCTTCTTCAGTCAGAGGGGCAGGTTGTTAAAACAGAGAAATGAGGAAAATTAAAAAAACGCATTCCAGGTAAAAACTATTCTCTCTACAAGTGGTGCTGATAGAAAACTGTTAATCACAACAGGTGATGTAGTTTCCCGCTTAGTCGTTTGACTTACTTTAAGCCACCGATTACTTCAGTTAGTTTTATCCTTCTTTCGATCTTCATGATGGGAAACAACAACAACCTCTGAGCATCAACCTGCTGCACTGAAAATTTCAAGTTTTGTTGAGGATGCAGTGAGGCAGCCCTGCTCGTTTTTGCAGTGAAGTATCTGTTTTAATGACAGTTCTTATTGCCCCACATGCAAATGTTCCACCACAGCTATTCCACCCATCACTGTTTTGAGGGAACACCACTGCACATCCTTCTCTTAGCCACAACCGCTGTGATTTGTTTAAGGAAATACAAACACGTCAGTGTGTTTTTCCATCATGGTCTCTTAGTTATATCACTGAGACACATTGTTTTCAATTCTAATGTGGGGCTTAATAGAAAAGATCGATCATATTATTATTGTAACCACAACCATGTGAAATTCTAAGACTTTTGTCATGTCCCCTGTCCTAATAATGATTAGAGAACACCATTCTGTTAATCATAATTTATTCTCATCTTCTGTTTTAGTATTTCACAGAAAAATTCTACCAGCAATATGTTTTGGAATATTCAGATGGAATTATGAAGTCACATCTGATCTCTCTCACATGAAGTCATCCCAGCAGTGATATCTGTGTGAATATGAAGTGACAGTTGTACATGATGTACGTGTGTGTGTGTGTTTCAGTGTTGCCTACAGATGTCCAGAAGGTGTTGGTGATTAAAGAGGAAGTTCCCCATGAATGGAGTGTCACTCTGGACCAGGAGAACCCAGAGCTTCTCCACATAATGGAGGAACAGGAGGAACTGTGGACCAGTCAGGAGGAAACTGATATCAGCAGGTTTCCATTCACTGCTGTTTGTGTGAAAAGTGAAGATGGTGAAGAGAAACCTCAGCCCTCAAAGGCAGAGCCTCCAACCAGCAGCTCAGCTAAACAGATGAAATTAGAAGCTGATGGAGAGGACTGTGGAGCCGGGAACCCAGATACAAATAATAATTTAGCACCAAATACTGATGGGAAGGCTTCAGACTGGACTGAAATTGAAGTCAGTATTGATGATTATGCTGAGGAGGATGATGATGAAGACGAAGATGAGTGGCAGGAACCGTTGTCAGACTCTGGTCCTGAAATTGAAGACAGGAACAATGATTGGAAGGACACCAGGGTGCCTGAACCAGCTGCAAATAGTGATGTTGGATGTAACACTGAGAAAAAACCCTTTAGCTGCTCTGAGTGTGATAAACAATTTGTCTATAAGCAGTCTCTTCAGAGACACATGGCATGTCATACAGAAAAAATGTTTTCCAGCTTTTCAGTTAATGAGAAATATTTTGGAGTGAAACAAAATGTAAACTCACAGATGAGAGTCCTCCAACGAGAGAAACTATTTGGCTGTAATGAATGCGGTAAAAGATTTCGATATCATTGCGAACTTAAGTTGCACATGACAGAGCACACAGGAGAAAAACCGTTCGGCTGCAATGAATGTGGGAGAAGATTTATAGAAAATGGATCTTTGAAGAAACACATGACCATTCACACAGGAGAGAAACGATTTGGCTGTGATGTTTGTGGTAAAAGATTTAGCCAACAAGGAACTCTGAAGACACACATGACAGTTCATACAGGAGAGAAACCATACAGCTGTTATGTTTGTGGCAAAAATTTCAGCCGTCAGTGGGACCTGAAAGCGCACATGACGGCCCACATGGAAGAGAAACCATTTCGCTGTGATGACTGTGGGAAGAGATTTTTAGATCAGAAGAATCTGAAGAGACATGTGACAGTTCACACAGGAGAGAAACCATTTGGATGCGACACTTGTGGTAAAAGATTTAGATTTCCACATGATCTTCAAGTACACACTCGAGTCCACACAGGAGAAAAACCCTTTGTTTGCGGTGATTGTGGAGAAACATTTAGCCAACAGGGAACTTTGCTGAGACACATGACTGTCCACTCAGGAGAAAGACCGTTTGGTTGTGATGACTGCGGTAAACGATTTACCCGAAAGGCGCATCTTAAAAGACACATGGCAGTTCACACGACTTAATTTAATAAAAAATTATATTAATGATCTCTCTTTTGAATATTTAATTCACGAGAGCGAGATTGCTCCACATGTGTGTGCACTATTCCACTTCTACTCGACCATATGGTAGAGCACATTTTGACTCACTATGTCATATAGAAAAATGTTGTTTTACTTAATTCCACCTGTTTCAACCGTCTCTACCAGTCGGTTGAGAATAGCATGCAGAGCAAATTAGTGTCCTCACAGAAAGTACACAAGAGATGTCACTCCTGACATGAGGCCTCTGTTTGCTGTAATTTTCAAAGATAAGCTTTTTTTTTTTTTTTTTTTGGCATATCGTGTCAAATGACTTACTGAACATAACTGTGTAACTTGGAACAAAAAAAGAAAGACTGAAAAGGGTCTAAGAATTCTTTTTAAACATCCTCTACCAAGCGGTTCATTTGGCCCTTTATGGTAAAGGTAGTGAAGCTAAGCAAATGTAGTTAAAATTGACTGTTTACTTCAAAATAAATAGAAAACGTCTGACGATGTTCATATGCTAAATTATGATCTATCATTATCAATGCTGAAGTAAGTTTAGAAGTTGTCTAAAAACATGCTTGACTGAATGGTTCAGTTGTCCTTCAGTAGTAAAAGTGGTGATGCAAAGATAATATGTTTACAATTTTTGTGAAACAAAAACACCATTACTCCTGATTTAATACGATTTCATCATGGAATATTTGTAGCAGTATGGCATGTCACCATTTTCTTTCTTTCTTTTTTGCAAATAATGGATGGCTGCAACAACATTTTATGGTGCTTGGTAGCGCACGTCTCTGGACCTTATACCAAGAAATCCTCAAGACTCTGATGCTGACCTACCTGGCGATGAGGAATTCTGTATATAGGATCCTGATTATCAGCCCACACAAGCAGCAGAGACTGGGGACTCTTCCTTTGAATTTATGGATGAGGTGGAAGTTGCTTCAACAAACACATTTACCAAACCAACGTTCCATAAGAAGAGGAGAAGAGGGAAAAATGTCCTCCAAACCCTTTCCTTGGCAGAGCTGGAGGACAGCCCTGACACTATTTTGCTCATTGAAAGTTATGTATGCATAGAAATGTCTTTTATTTCAGTTAAATGCATAAAAACCTATGCACATTCTTGAAAATGCACTTTTGCCATGAAGAGATATCTCAACCGTTTGGTAGAGGCTAATATTTAAAAAACTGTGGGGTCTGTTCATAAAAAACAACATTGATTGTTGTTATTAGTGCCCCATGGAAATAAAAAATATCATGACAAAAAAAAAAGGTTCATTGCTTTTCTTCTTAGTGACAACTTTAAAGGGTTAAACGTACAGATAATGGTGCCACAATGTGTGACATTAATTGTTGTACAATGACCGATTTTGTTGAGTTTGTCATCGGTGCATTTCGTTCAGTTCCTCTTGTTTAAACTGGACTAAGATGCTGAGCAACACAAGCAAGGATCTAATCAGGAGCGTTAACATTAAACTGCTGTTCACACTGTGAATATATTAGCATGCTAACTTAGCATATAGTTCAAAATGGTGCTGTGTGTAATTCTGCACTTCTGTCATATTATTCAAACTTTTGAATCATCGTCAAAGTAAGTCTGCAAACATCTGCCTCTGAGTTGTGGTCAGTCAGCTTTGGATTCCAGTGATCCAATCATCTGAAACACTGGGTTGTACTTGTACAGACTGAAACAGGAAGGGGAGCCTTTTTATAGTGCAATTTCCGACTGTAATTTTTAAATTGTGTATTAAAAAATACTGTGATTTTATTGGAGTGGATTTGGAATTCTTTTTCAGTCAAAGCCGGAGCGTTTGTCACATTGTGTATGTCTTTGGTGGTGTCAGTGGATGGATGGAAATGTGACATTTCAGACAAGCAATAAACTCCAACTCTGTGATCTGAGATGTGGAAACTCCAGTAAGAACACAACAGAGTAGGTAAAACAAGTGATTTATCCCTGTTTCATATCTGCACTGAGGGAGAGCAAAGCTGAGTTCCAGATCTCCTGTAGGTCTGCAGAGACAGTTTGTAGCTGCTTCTTATCTTTGAGTTCCTCTGTGGGATCATTGGTGGGGGAAGATGAGTGTTTCATGGACAGAGAAGGACGAGGATTTCACACCTTCACGGTTTCTTTGATGTCACAGTCTGTATGAACACTCGTCTGTCTGCAGGATGAAACTCATTTTCATGCTGCACAAAGTTGTTTGACTCAGTGGATCCATTTGTGGAGCCCATTCGTCTTTTTGCTGTAAATCTGTTTGTCATGTTCGGAGCTTTTCTTCTCTGAGAACGGGGAGCTTTCTCTGCTCTGCACCATGTCGGGGTGACAGTTTGATCCGGACCGTCCCCCTTCACTCCAACCGAGCTGCTTCCGTCTATCAGACACATCTTCATATTCACTCTTCACTTGCAAAGTAGAAAATGTGTTTTTTGTTGTTGTTATTTTTGAATCATTAACAGACGTCTTGCTCCAACACGCTTACTGGTTTGTGATGCACACAGTCAAAGAATCAAACAAAGACAGAAAAATAACACAGAAAACTAATTCAGGATCCTAAAACCTCTTTTTGACAAATCTAACCAACATATTTTACCTTCGCCAGCCTGTTCGTGTGTTCGACTTTGGTCTCATTAGGTCGAGTAATTTGTTAGAGTGAAGAACATCGAAGGCTTTTAACCTTCGTATTTATGTCAGTCAAGTAAATCTGTATTTTGTATATAATTGTTGGTATAAAACCATAATATAGAAATAATTCAGGGAAAGGTACATAATAATGAACAATGTAGGGTCTTTGTCTCAACATTTAAACCTGTTAAAATAACTCATAAATAAAATGTTATTTCTCTACATTGACTCAGATCATTTTAAATGTGACTGTTTTGTTAACAGATGTTTATTTGTTTTATTCTGTTTGTTTATTGATTATTTATGTATTTTTTGTTGATGTTTGGAGAAGTGCGTCTGTTTATCTACATAGAAAATAGAAAACAAAAAAGTTTATTTGGCTCAGACCCACCGCGGCTGTGGTTGCTATGGCAATGGAGAATAAAGGTGTCCGTGCAGGTGCCTGATTAAATTCCATTAAAAAACGACAAGAAATAATTTATAGCACCAGAAAAATCTGCGTTTTTGAGTCTCCATGAGCTCCTATAACACATCCAGGATTAACTCTGACAGAAACATAACCGACATGCACTGCAAGGCGACCGACGGTGATGGATTCTGCGCAGGCGCAGCTCCACTCGCCCCCAGTTCGCAGTTTTGGAGAAGAGACGCAGATCAGCACCGTGGACCATCCTGTCCAGCAGCAGCGGACTGAAGAAGTGTGTGTTTGGAGGACAAAACGCCTCCACGAGCAGCAGGACGTTGTTCTGAAGCAAAGCGTCTCTGAAACTCCGTCATGCTGAACAAACACATGTTGTGCATGTTGGGGATGTGGGAGTCTCCTGAGCCATGGATTGAAGGACATCACACATTGTAGGGACTCCTCACAGCCTCTCCATAAACTGCAAAAATGGAAATCTTCATAGCTATGGAAACTTCCCAGATGCTGAAGCCTTTCCAGTCAAATACACAGAATATGTTTCCGTTGTGAAGGCCGTCCCATCTGGTGTGAGTGAGTTCATAAAATACCACTTAAGTTATCACAATGTTCATGTTCAAATGTCTCAGCTCTTAACTGGTGGGACTGATATAATGGATAACAAATAAGCACGTCAGGAAAACCTCACAGAGACAAAATAAGATTTCACTGAGAGGAAGATCTGTTTGGGATTCACAGCTGAGTGGAATAAACTGACGAAGAGCGTCTGTCTGTCAGATAAGATCAGAGAGGTTCATTTATTTAATTTTAAAATAATATTTACTCTTGTAATAAGTCAGTTTCCAAGTTTGCTAATGTGGATGAAATGTGCACTTCTTGTAGGATGAGACAGTTTTGCATTTGTTTGATGTTTTCTGTATTTTGGAGGAACGAGAACAAATTCATCCTGGACAAAACTGAACAGTCGATTAAATGAGGACCCAAAGATATTTTCTCACAATTTGAACTCAAAGACAAAACATGATCCTTCATAATCCATCTTATGATCCTAATGGGTGAGTTTCACATCCACAGGAGGAGCTTTTCCAAGTTCCTGCTAAACTTTATTATATTTGCTGTAGAATTGTATTTCTATATTGATGCTCATGACAAATAATAAATGTGAACGGACACTTTTATATTTAAAAAAATATATATTTTTGTAACCTCTAAATAATATGAAAACAAACCTTATACCTCGCTGCCTTATTTACTTTATTATGTCATTTTATTTCTATTTGTGTGCATTTATATATATTTTATATTTATATATATTTAATCTATACTTATTTTAATTGTTATTTACCTTGTATACTTTGTTATTCCCCGACTGTGCTTCTTTGTTACTAAATAAAAATTTGTATTAAACAAACAAACAAACAAAAAAAACCTCTCCATAAACTGAACTGCTGCCATCAGGCAAACGTTTCCGCAGCGTTAAAGGAAGAACCTCCTGAATGATCAACAGCTTCATTCCACATGAAGTGCTGATCCAGATATGCACACAAGTCTTTGTTTATTTGCGTTTAGTTGTTGGATCCTGGAGAATAGCTCCCTCAGCCTGTAAAATGACAATAAACTTGATTTGATTTGAATGATTCTAATAATAAACGTTCTCTTTGGGTTTAGTCCTGTATAACTGTAGCCTTGTATTACTGTCCTGTGGAGCTTTGTCCTTCAGATTCATAGAACATCTAAAGAGTTTGCTGCCTCTCAGTGGTGAGAACAGCTCAGTTCAGTCAATCCATCATCTATACACCGCTTAATCCTCACTAGGGTCATGGGGGGCTGGAGTCTATCCCAGCTGACTCAGGGTGAAGGCAGGTTCACCTGGACAGGTAACCAGTCTATCACAGGGCTACACTTAGAGACAGACAACCAAGCACACTCACATTCACACCTACGGACAATTTACAATCACCAATTAACCTCAGCATGTTTTTGGACTGTGTGGGAGGAAGAACCTGGAGAGAACCCACGCTGCACGGGGAGAACATGGAGACTCCACACAGAAAGATCCCAGGTGTCCTCACCGGGATGCGAACCGGCGACCTTCTTGCTGCAACGGTGCGAACCACTGAGCCACCTTACAGCCCCTCAGTGAATCTACATAAAGTTAAATATCATCAGATGAGTCTGTTGGTCTCACTGTTATCGTGTGCTGTAGCCACAGTGAGGCCAAAGTTTACGGTTGTTATGTGATAAATTCACCTCATTCAGGACAAAAGGACGTGTTTTATTTTAATTCTCCTTATTTTTCAGTATCATATTTAACAGTACATTAGATAAACACATGAAACGTTCGGAGCTGAAAAACACATTTAAGTTCTGTTAAAGACTGCAACCAAATCAGTTTTACATTCGTCCAGGTGTCACAATCTAAAGACTAAACCTGCACTATTTTCTCTGTAACCAACTTTGAGCGTCAGTATTATGGGATGTGTCATAGTTTTAACAGCTAAACTGCAGCAGTTTAATGTCTATGACACAGAGTGATAGAAACAGTCACTGGTATCCTGGATGTGTTTCTGTTTTCTGATAATTCACCAGAGAAAACTCAACTCCTGCAGCATGTGTGATGTTGGTTGGTCAGAACAAGTTACAGACAATAAAAAGTCTGATTTTATTTATATTTTCTGTACTCCAGAGGTCAGTAACTTGGAAAAAGAAATCATCGTATGAAGGTAACATTTTGCACGGCTTCATTAAACACACTGAAGTTATTGTCCATAAAAAAAACAAAAGTGCTGATTTGGAGGAGGTCAGGTGGGAGGCAGTACTTGAACTTAAATGGAACGATTCAATGTCTGGATAATGTCTATTAATCTTGTTGCTTGTGTTTTCTGTGCAGCAGGAGCCTTTTCACAGGGAGAAAGCTGCCCAACAGACAGAAAGTCGCTTCCTGTTCTCAAAGGTCGAAGCAAAGAAGAATTAACTTCAACGTTCTTCTGTTCAGAGGAATCCGAGGGGATCGACAGTCATCCCTGAAAACGCACTGGCTGTTCAAGATCTCATAGCTGAAGCTGAAGCTCCCGTGTCCACGTTTCAGTGAATGCAACTGTGCTGTCCAAGCGCCAGTGAACGTAGCATTAGATAGTCACAGCTGCAGCAGCTGGTGGACTGTGCAGGCGGACTGTAGCTGTCAGAGAGACGCCACATCCCAGAAACAGACAAGAAGAAGAAGAACATCATCGTCACTCATTTAGCAGCAGCAGAGGAGACTGTAAAATGTAAGATTGTTTTTTTCTTCTGATGATTGAATATTGATTTTAAGTTGATTATCGTGACTTTACTTTGATTAAAAGCCATCAGTAGTTTCTGACTGAAAAAAGAGGGAAGTTTCAGAGACAGGAAATAACTGGACTGGATTGTGTAACTCTTCTGAGTCACTCTGCTGTGTGAAGGGAGGAGAGTGCTTTGTGGGAAACCACCTGGCATGTGACCAGGGGGAAGAAGCTTTGCAAGCTGAGCTTTTTGCTGGACATCGCTGGACTTTCAATCATTACTACAGCATGTGTAAGAAAAACCGGCTGGCCTGCAGCACCACACTCTTCAACCCAAACCGCAGACGGATTTTTGCAAACCAAATTTGGAGTTTTCATCTCCTGCTGAGGGAAGGAGGATGTTACCAGCTCTTGTTCTGCTTAAGACAAATTAAGAAAAATGCCCAGTTCTATTATAATCCAAATTATTGAAGCTGTCAAGTGAGGTTAAGGATTGAGATCCCAGAAGCAGCCACTAGTAAAGAATACTGGCCTTGGGTAAGCAATATGAAGGACTCTATGATAAGAAATGCTGTAACCTGATGATTGAGTGATTCAGTTTGAAATAGTAATTCCAAAACTGTGATTCTTGTAATGAGTGAAGTGAAGCATGTGAATGAGTGCAGATGAGAGGAGAGGTGAAAGTGTTAAAGGAGCAAAGTGAGGTTAGTGTCCTTAAAACAGCTCATATCTGGACATGTCACATGAGGCCGCTATCCACAGGATGTTCACAGAATGAACTCATTGCTAAAGCAGTTGTCAAGTGGAGGCAAGGTTTGAGATTCCAGAAGCAGCCACTACCAGAGAACAGAGTGAGCAACATAAAAGACTGTATGATCAGAAAGGCCGTGTGCTGTGACCATGATGATTAAGCGATTACATTTGAAATAATGATTCTTAAAATGTATTGTGTGATCCAACCCAATGATTCCAACCTTGTAGTGGATCTGAGATGTTTTTTTTGTTATCTTGATTTAAAAGTATAAGAATGAAGGTGAGGAAGATGTTAAAGAGTAAATGAGGTTCGTGTCCTTTAGACAGAGTGGGTCACATGAGGCCACGAGTCACAGGACAACATTATGAACTCATTGCTAAAGCAGTTGATGGATAAACTCTTTGGATAAACAGACGTTCCTCTTTTGGTAAACTGTGTCCGTTCCTGTTACCAGATATGGAGCTGGGTGTTGGGCCGAAGGATGAAACTTATCACGACTAAAGGTCTCTTAGAAATGTGTGTGTAATAATGAGTATGTGTTAAAGACATTAGATTATTGTTTTCAGTTTAAGAAAAGCTCAGTTTTATGGTGTTATCTTTAATCAGCTGGTTTAATCACACGTTGAAATATTGTTGAATGAATAATCCAGAGCTGTTGCTTTGCCTCTGCTAAAGATTTGCAATAAATATATAATTCTACATTTAAAGTTTATTTGGTTTGAAATTGTATTAAGTCATTTACAGTATCTGACGGTAGTGAAAAGTCAGGCTACTGTGTGCATGAGATCTTTTAGTGGTTCTGTCAAGTGGAGTCAGGTTTTGAGATCCCAGACACAGCCACTAACAAAGAACTCTGGCTCTGCTGTAAGCAATATAAAAGACTTTAATGATTTGAAATATTATATGCTGTA